CCCAGTTTCTCTGTTATTACAGCTTACATTAATATAGTACATTTGTCATGATTAAGGAACCATTAAAGTCCATACATTATTCACATTACCTCAGTTTTTTCCTGATAGACTTTTTCTGTTCTAGGATACCACATTACACTGCGTAGTTTCATCTCCTTGGGCTCCTCATGGTTGTAACAGTTTCTCAGACATAATTTGATTTTGATCCTCTTGAGTTTTGAAGATTACTAGTCGGTTATTTTGTAGAATGTCAATTGGGATTTGTCTGATGTTTTTCTCGTGACTAGATTGTGGTAATATGTTTTGGGAGGAAGACAACAGAGATAAAGTGCCATTCTCATTACATCATACCGAGGGTGCAGACTGTCATTATTACTTGTCACTGTTGATCGTAACCTTGGTTCTCTGGCTTGAGGTAGTATTTGTCAGATTTCTCCACTGTGAAGTTATATTTCATACTGTACTCTTTAGAAAGTCACTGTGTGCAGCATACACCTGCATAGCAAGTTATGTTTCACTTCCTTAAGAACGAAGTATCTATATACATTATTTGAAATCTTTCTGCATGGGAAATTTGTCTTGTTCCCCCATTTACATATTTAATCATTTATTTATCATATATATATATATATATATATATTAAGTTTTGGGTTATAATCCAGTACTACTTTATTTTACTACTCAAATTATTCCAGCTTTGGTTTTGGGAGCTCTTTCAGTTGACTCCTATATCCCTTTGACATAATCCCTACATTTTGTGTGTGTGTGTGCACATGTACGTGTGTGCACTTCTGCTCATGCATGTACATGTACTTTCTTACTTCTTGGCATTACAAGATGCTCCTCGCTCATCTTGTATATTTCCTGCCCCAGTCTTAGAATAAGCCATTTCTCCGAGGAATCTTGGTTCCTTTTATTGGAGAAACCAAGATCTGGGCACCAACTGTGATTGTTACCATTGAGATGTCTTGCTTCTATGTTCTCCTAAATGACAGAGGAATATGTGTGTGTGTGTGTGTGTGTGTGTGTGTGTGTGTGTGTGTGTATGTGTATGTGTATATATATATGTATATGTATATATGTATATGTATATACTATTTATATACAAGTATCTATAAATATTTCTATGTTAATCGCTTGTAGCCATATTAAGATAAACATGAGTTTGTTTATACTGATGTCTCAAACTCAAAAAATCCATTACTACATAGATCATTGTAGCTTCCTTTCCTTGGTTATTTAGAACCTTTCCCTCTAACAAACAGAAAACTTGCTCCCACCATCAGCCATCAAATTATTTAATTTGAATTCCAGTATACATGTATGGTGATTTCAGAATTGTTAACCTGTACCCTCATGGGAAACAACTTTATCAACTAAAGTACAATGCTGGTGTTCCTTTTGCCTTTAGTATTACATACTCCACTCATTTCCAAAGATAGCACTTCATTTCTCCACTCCAGTGAGCTTGTTTATACATTTGTAACACATCTAGATAGATTCTTTTGCCACATTTTGAATTCCATTGGATAATCCCCTGACCTTCTTAATAATTTTTTAAAAATTAGCATGCTCTGAGGTTTATTGTTTGTTATAAATTCTATGAGTATTAACAAAGGCTTAATGTCTTGTACTCACTATTACGTATCATACAGAATAGCTTCATCACCCTAAAATATCCATTGTGCTTTTACCTGTTTAACCCTCTCCTGTCTGGCAATCACTGGTTTTTATTACTAACTCTGTAGTCTTACCTTTTCTAGAATGTCATATAATTAAAATTGTACAGTTTATAGATTTTTTTTAGACTGGCTTCTTTCACTTAGAAATAAGATTTTAAGTTTTATGTATGTCTTTTTGTGGCTTTCATAGCTCATTTAATTATATCATTGAATAATATTCCACTTACAGGTATCTTTGATGTTTCCAAATTTTAGCAGTTATGGATAGAGCTGCTGTAAACATTCAGGTTCTTGTATGAACATAAATCATTAAATCAGATGGGTAAATACTAAATAGTATGATTGCTGGGTTATATAGTAAGAATTTGTTAGTTTTGTAAGAGACTGCCAAACTGTCTTCTAAAGCAGCTGTACCATTTTGCCTTCCCACCGGCAATAAATGGGAGTTCCTAATGCTCAGTATCCTTGCAGCATTTGGTTTTGTCAGATTTTTGGATTTTAGCCATTGTAATAGATATGAAATGGTATCTCAATGTTTTAGTCTGCAGTTCCCTAAAGAAAATTGATGTTGCTGAAACCGGTTTGGCTCAGTGGATAGAGTGTCAGCCTACAGACTGAAAGGTCCCAGGTTCGATTCCAGTCAAGGGCATGTACCTTGGTTACATGTACCTTGGTTGCGAGACAGCTGATCAATGTTTCTCTCTCATCCATGTTTCTTACTCTCTATCCCTCTCTTTTCCTCTCTGTGAAAAATCAATGAAATATATTTTTTTTAAAAAGAAAAATGATTTTTTTCGTATATTTATTTTCCATCTGTTCTTTGGTGAGGTGTTTGTTTAAAACTTTTACTCATTTCTTAATTAGTATGTATTGAAATCCTCTCTAATTCAGTTAGAAAAAAAAAAGAAGTAAAAGGTACACTTTTGGAAAGGAACAAATAAAACTGCCTCATTTATAATGATATGATTTTTTTCTTTTAAATATATTTTTATAGATTTCAGAGAGGAAGTGATAGAAAAAGAGAGATGGAAACATCAGTGATGAGAGAATCATTGATTGGCTCTCTCCTGCATGCTCCCCACTGGGGATCAAGCCTGCAACCAGTCATGTGCCCTGACTGGGAGCAGAACCACTGAGCCACACCAGCCAGGCTGGTTTGTCCATACTTATTGATGATAAAATTGACCATGGATTCAGATGTGTTGGACTGATCCCACCTTTCATTTGAATTTCACCCATTGATAGCCATTGCCTAATCCATTTATGGTTTTAGGTCTGTAAGGAGATGATTTTAATATCCTTCTTTATTTATTAACTGGCATTCTTATTTAAAGGACTTTCCCTCAGCAACTATTTTGTTATGGTTAAGCATGCTTTGTAAATAAAGGATAGGATAAATTCTTGGCTCTTTTCCTTTAATGTATCAATTTCAGAATTAATGGTTTAGTACCCTAGCAACCCTCCAATGGGTGGGGGTTTGTTTTGTTTATGCTTTAAGCATCATTATGATCTCTTGGTTTTTTGTTTTTTTTTATGTATTTGATTTATGTTCAGTCCTTTGGAGTCTTCATTGACTTGATGTCCAGTTGTCCCATTTAAGCTTGTGGGAGCTCTTCAACTTGTTACCATCTCCTTTTGATATTATCACATTAGTCATTGATAAGGTTTCTTCTGATGTAGTTCCTGACACAGATTAGAGGCTCATCTTTATTCATAAAACTAACTTTTAGTTTTCTTGTTCCTCCTCTTGAATGCTTATTTTCTATTTCTTTAATTTCTGCTCTAAGCTTATAAATTTTTAATCTTTCTTATTTTTTAGTATAAGCATTTAAGGCCCTAGGTATCTGTTGAAGAACTACCTTTGCTGAGTCTCACAGGTTTTTATATGCAGTATTTTTTCTGGTTGTAGTATATTTATACTAGAGACCTGATGCATGAAATTTGTGCAGGGGGAGGGGTGTCCCTTAGCCCAGCCTGCACCCTCTCCAATCTGGGACCCCTTGAGGGATGTACGACCACCCATTTAGGCCTGATCCCATCTGTGTTGGCCTGATCACCCATGCCAGCCTGATCACCCCTAACCACTCTTTTGCTAGCCTGATCAACGCCTAACTGCTCCCTGGCCAGCCCAATTGCACCCAACTGCTGTCCCCTGCTGGCCTGGTCACCCCTAACTGCCCTAAGCTGCCAGTCTTGTTGCCCCTATCCTCCCCTGCAGGCCTGATTGCTCCCAACTACCCTCCCCTGCAGGCCCAGTCACCCCTAACTGCCTTTCCCTATAGGCCTGGTCCCCCACCACCAACCAACTGCCCTCCCTTGCAGGCCTCATCTCCCCCAACTGCCTTCCTCTGCTGGCCTGATTGCCCACAACTGCCCTCCCCTGCTGGTCTGGTCCCCCACAACTGCCCTCCCCTGCAGCTTAGTGTCCCCTCCCCTGCTGGTCTGGGCTCTCCCAACTATCCTCCTCTGCTTACCTGGTCACCCCTAACTGCCCTTCTTGCTAGCCTGATCGCCCACAACTGCCCTCCCCTGCAGACTTGGTTTCCCCCAACTTCCCTCTTCTACCGGCCTGGTCAACCCTAACTGCCTTCCCCTGCAGGCCTGCTCCCCGACAACTGCCCTCCCCTGCAGGCCTGGTCCCCCCCAACTACCCAACCCTGTAGGCCTGGTCCCCCTCAACTCCCCTCCCCTGCAGGCCTTGGTCCCCCCCATCTGTCCTCCCCTGCAGGCCTGGTCTCCTAAACTGCTCTCCCCTGCAGGCCTGGCTTCTCCACAACTGCCTTCCCCTGCAGGCCTGGTCCCCCTCAACTGCCCTCCTCTGCCAGCCTGCCCACAACTGCCCTCCCCCGCAAGCCATCTTGGGTGGCCATCTTGTGTCCACATGGGGGCAGCCATCTTTGTGTTTTTGAGTGATGGTCAATTTGCATATTACTCTTTTATTAGATAGGATTATTTAATATATGGTACTTATAACTATTTTTAACTTTCATTTATGAATTTTTCTTTGATCCATGAGTTATTTATATAAGTGCTTCAAATTTTATAATAGTTAATGTTTGCATATTTTGTTGTTAGAATTGGTTTTCTTTTTTTTTTCCTTTCTTTTTTTTTTTGGTATATATAGAGGCAAATTTCCCAACTAAATTATAGATGCCTCAAAGCAATACTCTCAAATTTTATTTGTGTCTATATCCTGACTATGTTTTTTGGCATACAGTAAATGGCATAATACTTACATGTTAGAGAATTAAAGGAACTATCATACTTTTTACTTTCTAGGTATACAAGAATTAAATTCTGAATAAGTCTACAAGTAGGATGGACAGTTATTTTAAAGCAGCAGTCAGTGACTTGGACAAACTCCTTGATGATTTTGAACAGAATCCAGGTTTGTTGGTTTTTCATTTTTGTCACTAATGAAATTTTAAAATGTCTTTAATTCAGTTATATCAGATATAGAGTACTCTTTGTAAAATTTGGTTTCGATTTTGGTCACATGGATATCTTCTATAAGAAAGTCACGTTATTTCATTATAACATATTGGTTTATTCTTACACTGAATGGAACAAATAGCCAAAAATAAAGTAAGGTAACTAGAAGTTTTTCTCCAGATATAAATTTAGCTAAAAGAAGGGTCTTTGAAACCAACATATGAATCAGCTAAAAGTAACTTGAAAGCTCTACATAAGTTTGTATTTCATTACTATGAGAGATGGTATTTTCCACATCTTAGAAATGAAAACTAGGAAACTGGAAGGTGGAACAGTGAAGGTAGATTGTTTTTACAGTTATTTTTTAGATTGATTTTATAGTTTAACTGAGTTATTTTGAGTGAATTTCTATCACTTTATGATATTGACAGTCAAAAGTAAAACCCCAAGTACTTTAAATCCAAATAAAAATAATTTTGGATGTTATTAGTACTATTTTGCAAGAGAATACTCTAAAAAAGTTGTTAGTTTGGAAGTCTTCGAAACATGACATCTTTGTAATAATTTTTATTTGAGTCTCCTGAATAACACTGTATCTTTATTTTAATTAGATGAACAAGATTATCTCCAGGATGCACAAAATGCATATGATTCTAACCGCTGTTCAGTTTCTTCAGAGTTGGCTTCCTCACAGTTAACTTCACTGTTACCAAAGGATCAACAATGCATTAATTGTGGTGTCTCATCAGAAACATGCTATGAAACAAATCAGATTTCACCGAATGAAAAAACAGATGAGGGACTAACATCTATACAAAATGAGAAAAACGTAACAGGACTTGATCTCCTTTCCTCTGTGGATGGTGGCACTTCAGATGAAATCCAGCCTTTATATATGGGACGATGTAGTAAACCCGTCTGTGATCTGATAAGTGACACGGGTAACTTAGTTCATGTAACTAATAATGAAGAATACATTAAAAAATTATTGCCAGATGATTTTAAGTCCAGTGCAGATTCTTTGATTGGATTGGGTTTATCTTCAGTGTCAGAAACTCAATATGTTTCATCCACAGACCATGGTAACAGTGCTGTTGGAGAAGAACAAAATTATGTCAACTCTGAATTACAAAATAGAGAAATCAGTGGCACTAATGAATTGCATATAAACACAGATACAACTCTTTCAGATTCATGTAATTATAGTGGAAAAGAAAATTTAAAGGATATAAAGATCTCTAATCATTTAGAACCAGTTGATGATTTGAACATGCCATATGCCTTGATTCAACAAAGTTCCAAAATGTCTGACGCCAAAGACAACCTACAACACAAGAACCAGCCATGTGAGTCAGTAAAAGAGGATGGCTGTGTGGTAAGAGAGGAGGTACCTGTGGCGGTCATCGCTGCCACAGAATGTTTAAAAGAAAGAGGCAGCCCAAAAGCTTTGCCTTGCAGTCTTCCAAAAAATGAAAGTTTATCCTTAAATAATTCACATTTAAGAGATGAAAATTTCAAATTACCTGACTTCTTTCAAGAAGATAGGACTGCTATATTTATAAAACAATCTGCAAAAGAAGACTCAAATTTAGATCTTAAAGATAATACAGATGTAATCCAAGATTCTTCAGCTTTACATGTTTCAAGTGAAGATATATATTCCTCATTGTCCTCTCTTCCAGTACCTGGGTCTTTGTGTGGATCATTGATTGAAAGTAAAACACATGGTGATTGTTTACATCAGGATGAGCATAAAGATAATACACAAGAACCAGTAGCTGTGCATGAAGAAATAGAGAAGAGTGTTATTCTGGATGGGGAAACATTGAAGGAGACTGATCTTTTGAAACAAGAAAAATGTAAAAACATACTTCCTCAACCATTAATTGAAAAGATAGGAGATGAAGAGGAAGATCCTGACCAGAAGGAAATCAGAATTGACTCTTTGGATTACTCTAATAACACCAATTCTTCTACAGCAGAATCTCAAATGGAGCTTTTGGGTGCAAATGCCCCAGAGTCTTCCAATCACTGTGAAGGTCTCACTTTTTTAAGCAATGATATTGATGGACAGGACTTAGGTTACTTTAATATTGATGAAGGCATAAAAAGTGGCACACTAGTTAGTGATGCTGAACTTGATGCCTTTCTAACTGAACAGTATCTTCAGACAAGTAACATAAAGTCGTTTGAAGAAACTGTAAATGACTCAAAATCTCAAATGAATGAGATAGATTTGAAAAGCCCAGATGATGGAAATGTCAGTAATATGTACTTCAATGCTGAAGCAGGAGCTACTGGGGAAAGTCCTGGTGAAACAGTTGATGAACAAAATACAACAGAAATTAGTAGCCTTTCTTTAGGGGAAAAAAGTACAATTCCAATTGAACAAGCATTAGTTAGCAGTAAATCTGAAATTACTAGTGAATTGTCAGTCTCTGATTTTAACAGTCAATCTGTTTATGTTGGCGGGGCCAGACCTAAGCAATTTAGCATTTCATCAAGAACAAGGAGTTCTAAAGAACCAAATAAGACAGGTGTTCCAACTGTGCCTGAAAGTGAACCCAGCATAACCATTGCTCCAACAACTTGCACTACAAATTCTATAACTGATCCTCAGGCTAGTTTTAACTCTAATTACATTGATATAGAAGGTAATTTTGAAAGTGGATCCAGTCTTGTAACTGCAAATGAAGAATCTCTACCTGTAAACACTTGCAAAGAAGGCTTGGTTTTGGGCCAGAAACAGCCGACTTGGGTTCCTGATTCAGAAGCTCCAAACTGTATGAACTGCCAAGTCAAATTTACCTTCACAAAACGGCGACACCATTGCCGGGCATGTGGGAAGGTAAGTTATACAAAAATTTCTAGTCTTATTCTTTTGACACATTTTAAATGAAATTCTATGTGATGGAAAACCTCATTAATAGATTATTAAAAAATTTAATTAATTTAAAATGTTTCACCTACATGGAAATATAGAAAGCATTATCATTTTATAGATTGAGAGTTGAATAAAAGTCAACTCATCATGGGTATTACACAATGGGAATGAGGAACACTATTTACTAATTTTTGTGAAATCTAAGAATACTTATCTTTATATACCTAACATTAACACATCAGATATTCTCAATTCAGCCAGTTCTCCATTTATCCTTGAATACTTACTTTCAGAACTACTCTGTAGTTAATGTTGTGGTTAGGTAAACACTGAAAATAATTGGCTTACATAAGGTTCTGAACAGTGAAGCTGACCTCATTTGTGTTCTGGCCTCCTTAATTATCTGAAAACTCCTGAGAGTTGGCTATAGAAGTAACATTGCTTTTTTAAAAGAAAACAAACACACACAAAAACCCCTTAGATGAGTACATGCTTGGGGGGAGGGAGGGTGAGGGACGGAAGGAGGGAAGGAGAGAGAGAGAGAGAGAGAGAGAGAGAGAGACAGAGAGAGACAGAGACAGAGAGAGACAGAGACATCAATTGGTTGCCCTGTATGTGACCTGAGGGGGACTGAACCCACAACAAGACATATGCCCTGACCAGCAATCAAGCCAGAGACCTTCTATTGTACAGGACGATGCCCCAACCTACTGAGCCATACTGGCCAGGACTAAATAAAAGTATTTTAATAACTGTATATGAATATAGTGATTCAAACAGTTATATAATTTTTAAAAAATGGTTTTTGGTTAATTAGATGTTGGGCCTCTCCTCCCTCTACCTCCAGGTATAAGTATGCATGAAATAGAATAAAATTTGATATTTTATTTTTTATAGGTATTTTGTGGTGTTTGTTGTAATAGGAAGTGTAAACTGCAGTATCTAGAAAAGGAAGCAAGAGTCTGTGTGGTCTGCTATGAAACCATTAGCAAAGGTGAGTAGTAACCTGACATTTTCTCTAAGTAATTGAATATATCTTAAAAACAACTGGATTGTGACAAAGATAAACTTCTTTATTTTCTTAAGGCGAGGACCTAGTGTTGACTTATCTGGCTTAGGTGGGACATCCTAAGGCTTGGTTTCTCTTCTTTTTGTTCCACTGTCACACTTAATGCTACCAGTTTGGAAAGGAAGCATTCAATTTCTGGAGTGGCATTTCATTAACTTTTAACAGGTACCAAGTCCCTAAGTGCTGCATTTCATCTGCCTATTGTTTTTGCCATCATCATTGTCATCAATATCATTTTAATCTAAACATTTATCGTATACCTACTAATAGATGATATTTAATCCTATATATGAATAGCACCAGACAAGATAATAGTTCTTACTCTTTACAACCTAAAATGGGAATAAAAGATAAGATAGTGATATCTATCTTATACATAAATTTATAGGACTGCCACACTATTTGTATATTTTTATCTCATTTTTTTCCCCCTTCTAAATTTTAGAATTTTGTTTTTATGTGTTTCCTACTGTTTCTCCGGCTCCCTAGCTAGCTACCATTATGAGCAATAATCTTTGTGGTCTTGAATTCTCACAGTTGTGTGTGTACGTTGTGTGTTTTGTGTTTTTTCCTCAAATACACATTTGTTCTTTTGAGTATTTCTTGGCATTTTCTAAAATTTGTTGACAGTTTAATTCCCAGCAAATATTTCTTGGACTTTTTAAATACCAGGCCTGTGCACTAGCTCGGGCAGTGCTTCCTGTTAGCCAGGAGAGTCAATACCTGATAATAATTTGTTTTTCTCTTTTGAATGAAGACAAATTTTTTCAGCAGTTCTCCAAAAAGCTCTGATGTGAGTCTGTTAGCTGGAGGTAAGCTGCTTTACTCCCTGCTGTTGATATGTGTTCTGGAAGATTATAATAGAGTATAAATCTTTTTACATTTCTATATTATCACCATTGTTTATGAGGAGGTTAGCTTAAGTGCTTATAGTTGTTCTGTTTTTTCCTTACACTGCTTCAATAGCCTTGAATGCAACTGCTCCTGCTGTTAGCCAGGAAGATTTGAAACATTTGAATAGATAGGTCAGATTCTTAGGTGGACATTAATACATTTTCTGACTATAAGAATCCAGAAGGGGAGAAGATCAAGAGTTATTAAAGATTCTCATTATGTTACTGAGCTCAAACATTGGTTTATCAAAGAAATTCTTTTGAAAACAATTTGTTTACTTAGCTATCTTTTATTTATTCTGTTTCGATATCTTATAGCATGTAATTTCATTTATGGTTCTCTTTATCATTACTAATATACCACAAGAAAGCATAATAATTTGTTTTTATATCACCTTTAGCATTGAATGGTAGAAATGATCATTTAAGATAATGTTATTAAATTAAGAAGAGAAAGATGGCTCACTGGTTGTGAGACACATTTCATGAAGTATTATAAGAAAAAATAATTTGAATAGAGATATGGACATTGAGGAAGTTGTGCTGAGACTGTTAAGTTTCAAGGCAGCATGTGTGTGTGTTCCATTAGGTGGAAATTATTTTGAAACCCAGAGTAAGATGTTTGGATTTCAGTTGGTTAGTGGAGCCATTTCATAAGAATGTTGTTACTGTCACTTAAGGAAGGCAATTTTAGTAGTGGCAGCATTTATAGCAGGTCAGTTTGGAGATATGCTGACGGGAGAGCTACCAGTTCTGTTCTATGTTATTCAGGTGAAAAATCATTCAGCAATAGTCAGGTGCCATTCTATATTCTGGCACACTAGCTGAGAATAAATAGACTCCCTGTTCTCATAGAGTTTACAAATTTGGGAAAAGTGGACGGACAGTAGGCAAGGAGAATATCAGATGATGATAATATCCTAAATGAAAATAAAAGAATGTAAGAGGGATAGACAGTAACAGATTGGAGGCAAGAAGCTGTATTTTTTTATAAGGTGGTCAGAGTAAGGTTTTATGATAATGACATGTGAGCAGAGATTTGAGAAAGAGAATAAAGCTAGTGAATATCTATGGGAAGAACATTCTAAGGCAGAGAGAACAATAAAAGCAAAGATCCTAAGCTAGAAGAGTGCTTCTTGATTTGTTGAAAATACCAGGCCTGTGCACTAGGTGGCTGGATCATGATGAGCAAGTGAAATTGTAGTGAGAGATGAGGTCAGACAGTAACAGAAGGCAGAGGAGGTCGGGATGTAGGCTGTGTAGGGTCTTGTGAGCCATTGTGAAACTTAAATTATTCACTCCAAGGGTTGGGAAATCATTAAAGGATTTTAAACAGAGTAATGATATATGATCTATGTCTTAAAAGAATCACACTTACTACATTAGAAATAGACTCTAAGGGTAAAAGGCAAAAATAGTCATATTAAATAATAATTTTCTTTAATAGATATCAAACATAAGCTAAGTATAATATTAAAATAAATAATGGGTAGCTTATACTGAAGTGTGGAGTGCTGCCAAACAAAGGAAGGACATGATTTTTGTCAAGTGCTACTTCTTTTTCTTGCTAAGCCATTGATTTCTTACTTCTTACAACTTGGAAAATAGAATACTTGTCATATTTACTTTGAAATTTTAAAAAATATGAGATTTAAATGTTATTTTCTCCCTGTTATAGCTCAGGCATTTGAAAGGATGATGAGCCCAACTGGTTCTAATCTTAAATCTAATCATTCTGATGAATGTGCCACCATCCAGCCTCTGCAGGAGACCCAGACATCAAGTGTACCTTCTTCACCTACAACCTTACCAATCTCAGCCCTTAAACATCCAAGTGTTGAAGGTAACTAGAAGGAAATCCTGTGTCTTAGACTAAAGATAAATTATTAAAATAGAAAATTTCTAGTGTTGCAAGGTCTAATGAGGCAAGAGAAGCCAGACTAGATATCAGAAGGAATTTAATACAGGAGACTGGTTATACATGTATATTAGAAGACAGAAAGAGCAAAAAAGCTATTATGCTCAAGTGACTCAGGAATTAGTAACAGCAGGAAACAATCACCAACGCTAAGGCAGAGGGAACAAAAAGTGAGAAGCAGTATTGAGTACAGTACAGAAGTACCAGAAGGTACTTGGTTCTCAGACCTGGGATTCAGGGGTTGGGGTACCATGTGGTTCATGCTGTGATCTTTGGGGAACACCAAGAAGCAAATGGTAGAACCATCAAGGAGACTAATGAGCTTTGTGCTCAGATGACTGAAGGAGTGTTCTGGGGTTGATGTAAAGGAGTACTGAAAATCCTGGGGCATGCAGCTATATCTGGGGGTGCTGCTACTTCAAGAATCTTGGCAGGAACTCAAAGGAAAGAATTCCTTCTCTTCTCACCTTCTAATCTCCTACCTGTGCCTACCATTAGCAACTAGGCCCAGCTAGCAAGAGGGTCTGGGAGTTGAACTTTGCAGACTTCCAGCATGACATCAGAGAGCTAGGTGGAGAAGGTAGGCTGGGTTTGAAAAACAATAGGTAAAAACCTGGCATACCTCTGCTTCCTTAAAAATCTGTTTTTAAATGTATGTTTTACCAGAATAAAAATGGTTTTTAAATCTTTGGACTCTGTTCTTTTTTACAACCTGTTGTAGGTTAGGATCTTGAGTCAAGTCCATTCAGATTTTATTTTATTTTTTATTTTTTTGATTTGATTTGATTTGATTTATTTTTACATATTTTATTGATTTTTTTTTTGCCCCCCTCCCTCCCTCCCACATATCCCCTCCCTCCCCAGAGTTTTATGTCCATTGGTTGTACTTATATGCATGTATACAAGTCCTTCGGTCCATTCAGATTTTAAACATCAACTATTAGTCTGTTGCATGCTATAAAGTGACTTTTTCAGTTTAAGGCAGATTCAGATACTTGTGACAATTATTTTGGACTTTAGTTTCTTTCTCACTTAATAGCTATGCTTTATTTATCATTATAACTTAAATAAGGAGATTCAGCATATATAGTAGTGGGCAAAAGTAGGTTTACAGTTATAAGTGCACGAAACAGAGTTAATAAAGCTATTGTAATAATCATATCCTATGTATCTTTTTCCATCTGAACAAATGTATGCTTAAATATTATAGTTTTAAAGCTGAATAAATTTGTTTTTAGAAATATTTATATATTTTCTTATATTGACATCCTGAATTATTAAACTATAAAAGTATTGCAAATATAAGAAAGATACCTTATTTAATTTGTATACTCATAATGCAAAAATTATATACAATTCTAGTATTTTCAGTGTTACTCTGGATTGAATTTTGGAAACTAGACATATGAATCCATTTAATCTTCATATGTTTCAAAATCATCTGGCAAAAATTTTCATAATCTTTTGTAGATGCTTTATAACAAAATAAACATTTATGCTGATATCTAGTTATTTCCTCCAAATACGAGATGAAAATGTTAATAAATATTAATAAAGGTTAATATCTATATTATAACAAAATATATTATGCTTCTCTCATCAAATAAATAAAAAGAAATGACTTCTGATGTACAAGTGTTCCTGTTTCATTTTTAAAATTTTTATGCTTCTTTCTGTTTTCCAAATGTTTTTCTTTGCTTATCTGGTATAGTCTATTTTTCTTTCTTGCGCCTTAGTCCATAAATTATATTCAGTCTCCATACTTACAAATTAGTTTTAATAATATAGGCTTTAAATCTGCCTCCTTTGTCTTTAAGAAATAACCTCTCCTGTCCACTCCTTTTCTGAGTGCGTGCTTCCCAGGCTCATCCTGCCTTAGTATGAATTAGAAAAAGACTTCCACTATGGGTAGCTGCACATAAGGCCATTTCTCTAGGCTTGATAATAAGTAGCAAAAGCTTTTGAAAACATTTTCTGACCCATTTTTATATTAAATCATTGCAATATTGCCAAGTAAAAATGTTTTATTTTTGAAACTGTATCTAGGATTATGTTCCAAAGAACAGAAGAGAGTATGGTTTGCAGATGGTATATTGCCCAATGGTGAAGTTGCAGATACAGCGAAATTATCATCTGGAAGTAAAAGATGTTCTGAAGACTTAAGTCCTCTCTTACCAGACCTGCCCTTGGTAAGGAATCTAAAGAATGACTTGTTAATTTAATAAAATTTTATTTTGTAGATAATTCCTTATGTGATTATTAGAGTGTGTGTTTGAACACTATGAGCTTCCTAAAATGAGAGAGATATGATATAGAGAATATATTTTAGGTTTTATCTTTTCATTGTCAAACTTTTGGTCTCAATGCCATTTTGTGCTCTTAAAAGTTATTGAGAATTCAAAAGAGCTATAAGTTTTTTCTACTAATAGTATTTCTATTAACATTAGTTTATTTTAGCTAATGAATTTTAACTTCTCAATTTTAATATTACTATAATACCTTAAACAATAAAATAAAAAAGCTATAAGTTTTGTGGGTTATACTATTGATAATTACTATAGCAATATTAAAACTGAGAAAATTTAAAATTCATTAGTTAAGATAAACTAATATTGCCCTAGCTGGTTTGGCTCAGTAGATAAAGCGTTGGCCTGCAGACTGAAGGGTCCCAGGTTCAGTTCCAGCGAAGGGCACTTGACTAGGTTGCGGACTCGATCCCAGGAGGGCATGGAAGAGGCAGACATTGATTGTTTCCCTCTCATCATTGATATTTCTATCTTTCCCTCTCCCTTCCTCTCTAAACTCAATATATTTTAAAAAATAAACTAATATTAATGGAAATACTATTATGAGAAAAAATTCAAAACAAAAGTTTAATCAGGGATAGTATCTTATTCTTTTTAATAATTTTTATTGATTTCAGAAAGGATTGGAGAGAAAGAGAGAGATAGAAACATCAATGATGAGAGACTCATTGATCAGCTGCCTCCTGCATGCATCACACTGGGGATCAAGCGACCGGGAATCAAACCTTCACCACCTGGTTCATAGGTTGATGCTCAATCACTGAGACATGCCAGCTGGGCAGGGATAACATTATTTTACATTTCAGTTTAATGTCTGACTTAGTAGGAAAAAAATTCTTATAATTGCATGTATATTCATTCAGTCTGTTATGAAGAAAATCCTAGGACCTCACTGATTCCCTGAAAAGGTCTTGGGACCCACAAGGAATCCTTGGACCATACTTTAAGAAACACTGCTATAGGGAAATAGAACTGAGATTTAGGTTAGTATTTGTTTAATGATTTTCAAGGACTTAGTAAAGTATGTGGTGGTGTATTTATGTTTGCATTTACACAAATGTATTAGGTGTTAAGAAGAAGAAAAATAATATAGACTACTACTCCACTAAGAATTTTCATTGTAAAGTAGCAAAATGCTCATAGAAGCAAATATTAATACACAAAGTAGGAATATTTTATTCATTAAACAAATATGTATTGAGTATTTACTCTGTGCCAGTTACCTGGTTTATTTCAGATATATACATTGGACAAGATGGATATGTATCATGCTCTGTTCAAGTTCACATACCAAATGCTGTTTGTCAGTAAGAGTTCAGGAGTTATATTTTACAAGTAGCCATTATTACCAAAAGTGTTTCTGAGCTAGCACCTACCCTAATCAATATTTTAACAAAATGAAAGTTCTAAATAGGATAGTAAAGTATTATTGGAATTCATAAATGGTATCATTTAATATTGATTCAGGTTTGGCCAGTCTAAAAGAAAGGGCTTTTTAAAACATATTTGAGATGTAATTACTGGTGGTTACTATTGTGGTCTATATTTACCATTCTGTTGCCTAACCACTCCCCACTCTGTCTTTTCCCCTTTTCCTCTCACTTGCTTATCCAAGGTATTTTGGCTGTCATGAGGAGACCGTGGGTTAAACTGAGTTGTGCACTGTGTGATATGGCTTAAGATTCTGAAGTCCTCCTTGCTTCCTTTTTCTAATCTCTAAAATTAAAATCGTTAGTACCTACCTGAGCATACAGTAAAGCTAAACCTTATGCTCCTGAATTTGAAGAAGCCAAATGGTACTGATATAGCATTGTATCAGGGTAAGTTTCAGGACTTATAATTGGAGTGGCTGGCAGACTAGAATCCACTTTACAAAAATATTTGTTTAAAAATTTTAAAGGTGCTAAAATTATATCAGGAAATTTGGCTTCTGAAGAATTTCTGAGCCCATTTCGGTTTTATTTATTCTTATTAAAATGGTATGTTCAGATATAGAGATGAACATTTCACAGTTGAACAGAGGCTATAAACTGATTTTTTTATTACATATTTTACAGACCCTAAACACAGTGGATCACGCCTATTCTGCTACATTGGAAAAACCAAACAATGAAATAGGAGATATTACAAGAAATGAGATAATTCAGAGTCCTATTTCTGAGGTTTCATCTGTGGAAAAACTGCCCATAAGCACAGGAACTGAGGGGTTACCTACTTCTGGATCTTTTACACTAGATGATGATGTTTTTGCAGGAACTGAAGAACCATCTAGTCCAACAGCTGGTGTTTTAGTGAACAGCAATTTACCTGTTACTAATACTTCAGATTATAGGTTACTATGTGGTATTGACAAGATGGTGGGCAATAAGATTAGTCTTCTACCTAGTGATGAGGACAGCTTGCCGCCTCTTCTGGTTACATCTGAAGAAAAGGAATTAGGTAGGAATAGCAGTTATTTAAATTTAAAAGTTTTTGTTTGTTTTTTTAAAAATGTACTGATGAATTTTGTCTGTTGTATGAAATGCATTTTTTTTTAAACTTGGACAATTTGAAACATGTATTATGACTTGTTAACTTTAGTTTACAAAAAATCTTATTATATATAAAAACAAATTCTAAAAAGACTTGAACCTTGAGATGAAGATGATTCATTTATAATATCCAACTTCCTAATTAGAGTGAGACAAAAGACCAATACAACAGGAAACTTATAGACTTTTAGCTCTGAAAATATTTCCATTGTATTAGAGTTTTGATTACATATCACTTTTTTTTTTTTTAAAGGAGAGTGGTGCCTAAAGAAAAGAGTATTGGATTAGATGACAAAAGCTAGGAATTTTAGTTTGTCATTGGCTACTTATATGTATATGACTTGAAGCATGTTATATAATCCTTTTGGGCCTCAGTTTCTTTTTAAAAGAAGAGAACCTAGATCTATGAGGTTCTTTCCAAACTGGAGATCCTGTGGTTAGCTCCTATCTCATGATAGTTACCTAGGATGCTTGCATTATGCTGCATCCTGCAACATGAAGTAATTATGCTCTTGCATGGCAATGTAGGGGAATGGAGCTTAGACCTCTTTACGTCAGTAGGTGCTACTTCATAAATCTGGCTATAGTGCTAAGAATACTTTCAAGTCCTGTTCTTTGCAGGCCATGGATATTTTCCTTTTGATGGTCAAGATTTTTATTTAAAAATTTTTTATTTTTTTTTGCCACTTGTCGCTGGCATAGGCCATATGTCAGCAAGCAGTTTGTACAACTTGGGTCTAGATAAATTTCCCAGCATTGTATCAGGGTAAGTTTCAGAATTTATAATTGGAGTAGCTGGCAGACTAGAATCCACTTTACAAAAATATTTGTTTAAAAATTTTAAAGATGCTAAAATTATATAAATATGCTGCTTAATCAACATTTTTGTGTATATACAACATATCAGGATTTATATGTATTATGGTATTAATTCTTTACATATATAGCAAAGTAAAAGTAAGTATATAACAGTTGTCCAGGATATTAATTGACGTTGTGGAACATGTTTGCTTTTGTTTTAATTTGCTCAAGCCATTGGTAGCTTTATAAACCTGTTTTTGTTTTTTCACTGCAAGCGTATTTTACAGGATGTCATATTTATTCTAATTATATGTCATTTTCATGATTTAGTGCCTGTAGTGGAAGAACACCCATCTCATGAGCAGATCATTTTGCTTCTTGAAGACAAAGCTTTTCACCCTGTTACGTTTGTCCTAAATGCTAATCTACTTGTGAATGTCAAGTTAGTATTTTGTAAGTAATGATTCATCTTTCTTTGCCTAATTAGTAAGCAGGATTTCTGAATTAATTACATCTTCAGGTTTGATATAGACTGGCAATCATGGAAAATAAGCAGCACTGGATATTGGGTTTTTTAGCCAAATATGAATATAAATAAATTTTGCAAGTTTATATTCAGTGGAACTTAAAATACAAGCTTACAGATTTTTACTAGTATCCCTCATTAAGTCCTATTTTAAGGTTATAGACTTATAACTTAGCTGTATTTTGATGTTCATGATACAATTAAATACATTTCATTCATTTAGCTTTTATCGAAATTGAAATCTGGTAATTGAGGTAAGCAAGAATCCTGATTTAGTAGCAATAAAGACAGTTTAAAGTCAACAACTTGTGATCTAATTAAAAGTAAGAAAGTAAATAATCTTCAATAATAAATAATCCTCAGTTCTCAAAAATGAATCTCTCCTGAATTCTCAGCTTTTCATTCTCTTTAAGCTAACCTAATTCTTACCCACTACATTTAAAAATATTAGTGCATCTTTTATTTTAGTGTTATTTACTAATTGACTCCATCAGATAATTTTTCTCTTCTCTACATTAATCTTATGCAATACAAAATTTTTGTGAGGAGAACTTTGGAAAAATAAGGAATTTAAAAATTATGCTTCATGCAAAAGACAATTATATTTAGTTTTTTTGGTTAATACAAGTGGAAATTGATAGTTGTATCATTTATCACTTAAGATTCCTCAGACAAATATTGGTACTTCTCAACCAATGGATTGCATGGCTTGGGACAGGCAGAAATTATTATTCTATTGTTATGTTTGCCAAATGAAGATACTATTCCTAAGGACATCTTCAGACTATTTATCTCCATATATAAGGATGCTCTAAAAGGTATAGCTTTTTATTTTGAATTGTTTATTTTTGTTTTCATTTAATTTATTTTTGTTTAAAGTATTACAAATAGTAGTACACATGTCTCCTTTTCCCCCCATTGACCTCGCCCTGGCCTCTTCCTCTCCCCAGCACATGCCCTCATCTCCCTGGTGTCTGAGTCCATTGGTTATGCTTATACGCATGCATACAAGTTCTTAGATTAGGGGATGGACAAATTAATTAAAGACATTTATGCTTTTGGTTATGCTAACTGTACTAAAGATTTATTTTGTGAAGAGATTATTGCTTTTTTAGGTCTTAATAATCATTTTCAGTCTCCTTAAATCTAGCATTTTATCTGATTAGTGTCTTTACACAGATTTTAAAAAAATAAGTAAAATATATTTGCCTTCTTTTATTTATTTATTGCCTTCTTTTTAAAAAAAAATATATATTTTATTGATTTTTTTTACAGAGAGGAAGGGAGAGAGATAGAGAGCTAGAAACATCGATGAGAGAGAAACATCGATCAGCTGCCTCTTGCACACCCCCTGCCGGGGATGTGCCCGCAGCCAAGGTACATGCACTTGACCGGAATCGAACCCAGGACCTTTCAGTTTTCAGACTGACACTCTACCACTGAGCCAAACCGGCTTCGGCTATTTATTGCCTTCTTTCTTTTTTATGTGTCTATATGTTTTTCTTTTTGTATGTATGAGATTGGGAAGATATTTTAATTTTTATTTTGATTTACTTGACCATGCAGTAAGGAGAAAGATTTTTTTTCTTAAATATATTTTTATTGATTTTGTACAGAGAGAAAGGGAGAGAGATAGAGAGTTAGAAATATTGATGAGAGTCATCGATCAGCTGCCTCTTGCACACCCCATACTGGGGATATGCCCGCAACCAACGTACATGCCCTTGACCGGAATTGAACCTGGGACCCTTCAGTCCCCAAGCCGACGCTTTATCCATTGAGCCAAACCAGTCTCGGCAGTAAGGAGAAAGATTTTTAAATAGCTTATGGTTATTCCTATCTCCAGGAATAACTGACCTTTGTACACACAAAGTATTGAATAGATGCTTGTTCTAGAGTGGAAATAAAAAAAAATTCTACATTGCCTTTATATAAGTAAGTTTATATGGGGACAGTCAAATTCAGAAAGCTTTTTAAAACAACTAAAAATCTTTTTTAAATGATTTTATTTACAGGAAAATACATAGAAAACTTGGACAATATTACCTTTACTGAGAGTTTTCTCGGTAGCAAGGACCATGGAGGATTCCTATTTATTACACCCACTTTTCAGAAACTTGATGATCTCCCCTTACCAAGTAATCCTTTTCTTTGTGGAATTCTTATCCAGAAGCTAGAGATTCCCTGGGCAAAGGTTTTCCCTATGCGTTTAATGCTGAGATTGGGTGCAGAATATAAAGGTAAGTTTTAGAATATGAAGTTAAATTTCATGGGTTTAAATAGATTAATGTAAAATAAGAATTCAGGAGTATCATTAAAATCAAATTTTTAATGGATTAATGGAACCATTTCTGTTTCACTGTACTTTTAAAATTCCAAAACAACCTTCCTCTACTTCCAAATTAGTCTACAAAACCTTGATATATAATGAAGTTTCTAGATGGTCATAATTATTATATAAACTTACCTTAAAATATTTTTTTAAATTTTAGAACAAACCCACAAAAACTTGAAGTTTTCTGAAAAGCATGTACTGTAGAGAGTTCATTTTATGTTGCTTACATGTTAAGAAGACAAATTATTGCCCCCGTCAATTTGTGTACATTAGGGAGTCAAACTTAAAGGATTTTTGGATTATCAGTGCTACTGCTTTCAGTTACTGACTATAACCAAGAGTTGACTATTAGAGAAGGAAATACTTAAAAATAGTGGCTCCCATCTTTGTTAAGCATGAAGTTCCTTTTTCTTATTTTTATATTTCTAACATTTAGCTTATTATCTAAAAGTGATGTAGACTATATCATTTAAGTATAATACTAGTATATGTATATGTTTATATTTGAGTGTGAGTTTGTGTGTATCTTTACATATCTATCCTTGATACAATTGGAGATTCTAAAGAGGTTTATATGTTATGGTTATATCTAAGTTGAAATTATTTCTAGCATTAAACTTAAAAAAAATATATATATATATATATTTGAGATGGGGGGAGGGGAAAGGAAGGAAGAAGGAAAGGAGCAAAGGAAGGAAGATAGATCTGAGAAACATCGATTGGTTGTTTCTGACTGAGGAGCGAACCTACAACCTAAGTATGTACCCTGACCCAGAATCAAACCTAAGAACTTTTGGTGCATGGGATAACAGTCCAACCAACTGAGCCACACTGGCCAGGGCTCTTTCTCCTCTTTTTTTTTTTTTTTTAAGAAATAGTCTATTTATTGTAAGTGAAGGACAGCTCATGAGATGTTATATATTTCATTCTAATATAATTTAATAGATATTTTTGGAGGAAAATTAAATGTAGGAAGATTATAAAGTGACCTTTACTATTTCAAAATGGACAAATTCAGTGAGAGAGATTCGCTAAATTCCTCTATTTGGTAAATTTTATTAAACTGTGATTTTTGGGAGGAGGTCCTTTCATTTAGGATTTAAGTATGTGATGCTATTAAATTGTATTAAAAGTAACAAAATTTAACTTTTATCTTGTGCTGTGTAAACCAAAGAACTTAAAAATTTTCATTCTGAGCCAAGTGTTACATCCATTTAACCTAATATTGTCTCTGATATTAATACTTGAATACTATTATTATGGAAGGTTAGATCAATATACTTGTACTGGCTAATTTCAAGTAGTATGTAACACATAATCTGTAAGTTTGGCCTGTATCACTTCTAGATACCAAGTCTGTTTTCACCCACTGAAAGGAAAGTCATGGGGCAAATGAGATACTTCTCAAAAGATACACAGGGATCAGAGCTGCAAAGCTATGGTAGCTATTGAGTAGTGCATGATATGAGGGCATATCAGCAGTTACACATAGAAGTTAACTAGTCTCAGCTATTTTTTCGGAATTCTTTATGTTCTGCTGGGTTTTGGATAGACTAGCATTGTGGTGTTATTGGTGCCCATGCCTCTTTAGGAATGAACTTGGAATTGTAGTATGGTGTGTGTTTATATTGTTATAGAGTGTAAATATTTCTCTCTTTTCCATGTCCAGTGTGGCTAGAGAGCGGTCCAGTTCCTGAGTAGGGGGGGTAGGGAATTGAGAAAAGGAAAGAAAGAAATAGAAGGAAAAAGCTGGGGCCAGGTGGGACCACTGCCATCTGACAAGGACAGGGACAGGAACAGTGACCCCAAGCCAATATAGTGTGTTTATTTTATACAGCAAAAAACAGGAAGTTTTACTAAAAGTCAAGAAAAAGGAGATTATGTGCATTCCTGGTGCTTGGTTGGATTTAAATAACAAAACCCACCTGCTGGCACCTGTGCTTAAGGTCAGCTGACAAAAGGCCTACCTCTGGCAAAGTTTGTTTCCAGGACGTGACTTTGCCAATGCCACTGGATTCAGCTGACAATAATTAAAGAAATGCCAATGTGCCTTCCCAGGCGCTCTCTACAATAGAGATAATGTACGTATGTAAAAATTAATGACAGAAGTTGAGTCCCATGATTAAAAACTGAAAATAACTGTCTGAAATGAGTAATTTTCAAATGAGGATTCTCTATGCTTTTATGTTGAAATCATTTGGTTAAAATATCATTAAATGTTGGATTAGATCATTTGTGGGGTCCCTTTGAAACTGACAGGATGCCATTCTAAGTCAGAACCTTTGAAAAGTTTTAAATAAAATTACCTCTATCAAATTACAAGGATGCTCCCTGTTTCATAAGAAATGAAGAAGTCAGCTATTTACCTTAATGTCACTTACCACTATGTCTTATGTTTGTTTGTTTTTAGTCAATATCTCCTGTCCTTTTAAACACCACAAAACATGTAAGAGCAAAGATGTGAGTTCCCCTGACTTAAGTTTTGAAAATAGATAATGTCAGGTGCATTGTCTTAGAATTTTAAGAACTTATATTTATATAATAGATATTAGAGAGGTTTGCTCCTGACCTAAGCTGAAGGTTAAAAATGTACCTGCATTTTATCATCATAGAAATAGTCTTACCTTCCTTTCCTTCCAGAGGTCCTGCTACATTGCCAGCAAGTTATCTTTTTCTTCCTGGTGTGCAGTATTTATAGTGCCCTAAAGAAAGAGGAAAATTGTTATGTGACGGACTCCATGTCCGTTATCCTTCTCTGCGTTGATTTCTCTAACTCTGTGTGCTCCTTTCACCATGTTGACCCAGGAACTATAAAAATTTTACTATATAAATCTCTAAATTAATACAGTTGAGCTGAAACCGGTTTGGCTCAGTGGATGGAGTGTCAGTCTGTGGACTGAAGGGTCCCAGGTTCTATTCCGGTCAAGGGCATGTACCTTGGTTGTAGGCACATCCCCGGTGGGGAGTGTGCAGGAGGCAGCTGGTCAATGTTTCTCTTTCACTGATGTTTCTAGCTCTCTATCCCTCTCCCTTCCTCTCTGTAAAAAATCAATAAAGTACATTTTTTAAAAAAATTAGCACAGTTGAATATTAGTTTTACAAGCCATTAAAATATTTAATTCTTATTTTTCTTTAAATTCAGAATTTGATAGGGGGCTCTAACCAATTACTGTAATTTTCCAACCATCATAATTTGTGGAAACATATAGTGAAAAGATTAAATGCTTTGGAATCAGGCAAACCAAATTTCAAATCTATGTTACATTAATTTAGGGACCTACTTTCCCATTTGTAAAGTAGGGGTAGATATATTTGCCTCATCAGGTTGTTGTGGAGTTTAAATAAGATAATGTATACAGAGTTCCTAGTTCAATGCAGCACCTGATTAGTACTCAGTATGGTTAATTTTCTTCAAAGAAATTATTGAGGGTAATTTATTCATACTGTTTAAAAAGTAAAAATTAATAAAGGTAACACATTCAAGACTCTTGTGTTTGTGTGGGCTTTGGGGGCAGTAACCAGTTTTTCTTTCTTATGTATAGCATACCCTGCTCCTCTAACAAGTATCAGAGGCCGAAAACCTCTTTTTGGAGAGATAGGACACACTATAATGAACTTACTTGTTGTGAGTAATTGAACTATTTTATAAAGTGTTCTTATGTTGTTACTTTAGTAAATTTTACACACTTACTGGTATATTTTCCTATTTTAATTTGGTATAATAAAAGTTTACTTATAAATATATCCTTGTTCATTTAATACAAATGGGCTGTTTCTAATGAATTCCTTTTTAGAACACATCTAATTTATAGGTACCTGATTGTAATTGTCTTTCAATTCATTCTGCTGGGGTGCTTACATATATAAATAAAGTGAGATCTACACCAATGTTGAAGCTTTTGAAGATGTAAAAGTGTCTGTAAAGTTAGTAAGTTTGGTGACTGTGAGCAAAGTGTGGCTTATGTTTCCTCATTTGCTTTAGGAAGGATTGGAATAGATCATATCTCAGGTTCTCTCCCACCTCAGATTTTTAGAATTTTGTGTTTCCTGTTACCAGAGAAAAGTATTTCAGTGGAATTACTTTTATTTATAATATTGTTTGAAGACCTATTTGAACAATCTTTAAATAGAGGAGATCACTCCCAAATACTATAGAATTCTTCCTGGAAATGATATTGTTTACTACTCCGGATAGTAGCTGGATTAGTTGGTTTTGTAAGTTAGTACTAGTTTTTAGATGGCAGTTTCAGTTATGTATCACAAGTCTTAAAATGGTGGATACTTTTAATGGATTTAATGAATGGTTAAATGTGCATGAATAGTAGTTTAAGGTTAATGGAAATATCATTATTTTATATAGGACCTTCGAAATTACCAGTATACCTTGCATAATATAGATCAGCTATTGATTCACATGGAAATGGGGAAGAGCTGCATAAAAATACCTCGGAAAAAATACAATGATGTAAGTATAATTGCTTAATTAAAATTTTGAAGATAATTATTGAACATTAGATTTCCTTAGAAGTTTGTCAATTAAATTTGTTTGTTTGAATCAAACTACCTAATATATAATGGCAAAATATATTATTTTTGAAGTTTTAGATTTGCTTCCTAACAAGGCATTTAATTCTATTCTTTCATCTTATTTATTTATTTATTTATTATTGTTTTATGCATTGAGGTGATTTTATCTTAATACATTTGTTTCTATCACATTCTTGGTGGTTTTCCAGACCAAAGTTTGAGATTTATGAAGTTGGTCAAAATGTGATTCTTTGAATTAGTGTAACTAATAAAGGCATGAAATAGTAGAAGCGTTTCTAAATAAGTGTTTTTTTCCAAAGGTAATGAAAGTGATAAGTTCTTCTAATGAGCATGTCATTAGCATTGGAGCTAGTTTTAGTACAGAAGCAGATTCTCATCTAGTCTGTGTACAGAGTGATGGAGTCTATCAGACACAGGCCAACAGTGCCACTGGCCACCCCAGAAAAGGTGAGTGTTGGTTCCTAGTGTTGATCCATTAAAGCACCTCAATAACTAGAACTATTTTCCAAGGGGAAATATATATTTATATTACATGTTTGCTGAATTGACAGTGATAAAACATGCTTTAAAATTTTGTGTGTGTGTGTGAAATTATATTGAATTCAGAGAGAGAGAGGGAGAGAGAGCGAGCAACATCAATGATGAGAGGGAAGCATTGATCAGCTGCCTCCTGCATGCCCCCTGCTGGAGATTGAGCCTGCATGTGCTCTGAACTGAACCATGGCCTCCTGGTTCATAGGCTGATACTCAACAATTGAGCTACTCCTACAAGGCAATACTCAGAAATATTTTAAAATTGCTTCTGATTTGTGTTTTTCTTTTAGGCTACATTTAGGTTTAAAGACTTGGAACAGATAGTCAGGCTTAGTATGTCCCATATGGTGGGAGTGTCCCGTTCCCCCTCTACCTCCTCCTCCAGTTATTTGTCTCTTGAATGAGGTTTCTTCACCTTCACATGTGTTTTGCTCCAACTCTCTTAATTAAGGAGAGCACAGGATAGATAAGAATATAGAATAATTTATAAAACTGAAGTGGTTAGGGATATAAAAATGATAAAGATGGTACATAGCAGGTCTGAGTGACATGCTCTCAGTTCTGGTTGAATGACCTCAGTGACTGCTAGATTACCAAATCTGTGCAGTAGAGAGCCTAACCAATGGAAAGTTATGTGGAAGTATGTATTCCATAAAAATAATAATTATAATAAAATAACAAATTTAAAATATTCTAACATCTGTCAGCTAATATAGTTTTTTCTTCTATTATAAAAGTAATTTATACTAATTTGTAATAAGCTTGGAAAATATGTTTTTAAAAGTAGCAAAAAAAGAAAAAAGTAGTAAAAAAAAAAGTGCCAATATAGAGCCATTGTTGATATTTTTATCATATTTCCTTTTTATATTAATATCTGTTAAATAGAAGATATAATACTGGATATTTATACTTTTGTATTGTGTTTTTTCCACTTAACATGTCACTGATATTTTTTACATTAAAATTTAACAACTAATATTTATTGAATAGCTATACTATATTTATGTGGTGTAAGTTCAAAGTATATAAGTATTTATAGTACAAAGTCTCTTTCTTCCTTGACCCTCAGGCTGCCCTCTGCTCCTCCGCATGGGCAGCCAAACCAGTATTCTCAGTTTCAGTACGTACATCTTTTCTGAGACATTTGTTAAATAAGCCATTTGTCCCAGGCTACACCTTGCTTTTTCTTTTGTTAACATACTTTGGACATTATTCTATGTTAGTATATAAAGAATTTTCACATTCTACATAACTTTTCACTTTACTAGTATATGTGTACTTCATTTAATTATCCTTTATATTGGCGGAGATAACTTTTACTAGTCCTTGGCTATTCATAAAATAATAGAGGCCCAGTGCATGAAATTCATGCTCTCAGGGGGTTGGGGGTCGGTTTTCAGCCCTGCTTTTGTCCTCTTGCAGTCCAGGGGCCCTCATGGGATGTCCGACTGCCGGCTTATGCCTGTTCCCCGCAGGTAGCGGACCTAAGCCGGCAGTCGGACATTCTCAGCGCTGCCGTGGAGGCGGGAAAGGCTCCGGCCACCGCTGCTGCGCTCGCAGATCATGAGCCCGAGTTCTGGCTGAGTGGCGCTACCCCTGTGGGAGCGCACGGACCTCTAGGGGGCAACTCCTGGGTTGTGTGTCTGCCTCCTGGTCGTCAGTGTGTCATAGCAACCAGTCATTCCACCATTCAGTCCATTTGCATTTTAGCCTTTTATTATATAAAATACTGTGCATAACATTGTATCCATACCATTAATATCTAAAAATGGAATTGGTGTATAAAAGAATACATGTATTTGTAATTTTAGGAGATAATCATCAAGTTGTTGATTTAGGCTCTCACCAATAGTGGATGTTCAATTTCTCACACTCTCCCTGACAGACACTTTTTATTTATTTTTATTTATTTACTTACATTTTAATATATATTTTTATTGATTTCAGAGAGGAAAGGAGAAGGAGCGATAGATAGAAATATCACTGATGAGAGAGAAACATTGATCAGCTGCCCCCTCCATGCCCCCTAATGGGGAATCAAACTTGAAACCTGGGTATGTGCCCTGACTGGGAATTTAACCCAGAACCTTTCAGTCCACAGGCCACAGCTCTATCTTCTGAGCCAAACCAGCTAAGGCAACACAAAACTTTAATTAATACAACTGCCCATCAATTATTAGATACAACCATTAACTTATTTGTATGCAGTATTTATCTTATTTATTTATTAGCTTTCTAACTTAAGTGGTGGAGGCATGACATTTATCAGGTACTTAAAATGTGCCATGCTCCGGATCCTCCAAGATGGCTGCGCCCAGGTGAATACCTAGCTGCAGCCTCACACAACAATTTCAATAAAATACAACTAAAATATAAAACGGACATTACCCAGAACTACAGGAAAGTTGACTGACTGGAAATTCTACAACGAGAAGCAAGAGAAAACCAGAAGGAAGCGCGGAGGAGCTGGAAAAGCCGAAGGTACGGAGACACGCGGCGCGCGGAGAGGACGGAGCTGGAGAGGAGGGAGGCGGAGTGCCTGGCGGGCCTTCCCAAGCGGGAAGGAGATAAAACTCTGACTGTGCTGGGCCCCCGACTACTCTGAACCCAACCCTAGGCCAGACCCCGGGGACTCAGGCTCAGCCAGAGGGAGCTGGGCTGCGAGGCGGAACCCGGGGAAGCTGCGAAAGGAGGTCCCGGCGGTGCACACATTGTGCGCAGAGAAGGGACGGCCAGCTGTGCCGCGGGATTGCCTGGTGAGAAGGAGACAGGGGCTCCGGACTGCTCTGAACGCCACCTCCAACTCCACTTCCAACTGAACTGAACCCCAATACCGGGCTCATTGGGGAGAGCATTGACTGTCTGGCAGCAGGCGATCAAGGGCGCCTTTCTCTCAGAGGCGCCGGCAGCGAGCACTGAAGGACCCGCATAGGGCGGGGCTGACGGAAGCCAAGGCTGTAGGCTCCACCCTGAAACCCCGCCCCATCTGTAGCTGCGAAATGCGACAACGAAATAGATCACAAACGAAAGAAATGGAGGACAAAAAGCGGCTGGATATAGAGTTCAAATCTACGCTTATAAGGTTTTTCAAGAATTTCCTAGAAAAGATGGATAAGACCTATGAGGATATGAAAAGAAATCAACTAGAATTAATAAGGAGTCATCAAGAAATGATAAGGGAACAACAAGAAATAAAGAATACATTGTCTGAAATAAAAAATATTTTACAGAGTCCTAAAAACAGAAGGGAAGATCGCAAGAATCAAGTCAAAGATTTGGAACATACAGAGCCAGAAGACACTCCTCCACAGAAGCTAGAAGGCAAGAGAATCCAGAAAATTGAAGATAATGTAAGAAACCTCTGGGACAACTTCAAGCGAACGAACATCAGAATTATGGGGGTCCCAGAAGATGAGAGAGAGCAAGATATTGAAAACATACTGAAAGAAATAGTGACAGAAAACTTCCCCCACCTGGTGAAAGAATTAGACTTACAAGTCCAGGAAGCGCACAGAACTCCAAACAAAAGGAATCCAAAGAAGACCACACCAAGACAAATCATAATTAAAATTCCAAGAGCAAAAGACAAAGAGAGAATATTAAAAGAAGCAAGAGCAAAGAAGGTAGTTACCTATAAAGGATCACCTATACGATTATCAGCTGACTTCTCAACAGAAACCATGCAGGCCAGAAGGGAATGGCAAGAAATATTCAAGGTGATGAATAGTAAGAACCTACAGCCAAAGATAATCTATCCAGCAAAGCTATCACTCAGAATCGAAGGTCAGATAAAGAGCTTCACTAATAAAAAACAGCTAAAGGAGTTCATCAACACCAAACCAGACTTATATGAGTTGCTGAAGGGAGTTCTTTCAGAAGAGAAAGTAAACAAAGATAAAAATTATGAACAACAAATACGTAACTATCAACAAGTGAATCTAAAAACCAAGGAAATTAAAAAAAAAATCTGACGAACAATAGTAACTGTTGAATATAATAGAATCAGAGGTATGGAAGGGGAGTGAACTGACGATTCTTGGGGAAAAGAGGAGAGGGGGGCGTGGGAAGAGACTGAACATAAACTGTGCACCTATGGATGAGGACAATGGGGAGTGGGGAAAGGGCAGAGGGTGGGGTGGGAACCTGGTGGAGGAGAGCAATGGTGGGGCGGGGGGGGGGGGAGGAACATTTGTAATAATATGAACAATAAAAACTTATTTAAAAAAAAATAAATAAAAAAAAAAAAAAAAAAAATGTGCCATGCTCCACATTATATATTTAACAAATGTCATATAACATTCAAATATAACAGGTTAAAATATAATTGTTGTGTGTTTTTTTTTTATCAGTGACAGGTGCAAGTTTTGTAGTATTCAATGGAGCTCTAAAATCATCTTCAGGATTTCTTGCTAAGTCCAGCATAGTTGAAGGTAGGAGTTTCATTTTTAAGATTGTTTTAATGTAAAGATGTAAAGATTTCTTTTTGAAACTATATTTGATATTTATGTAAAAGAACATATGTAAATTATGTCATATTCTCCATAGCACCACAAACTTCTGTGAAATAATTCTGCAGCCCCAAAACATGATCAATATTTGGATCTACTTACACCTTCTTCCTTCTCTCTCCAAAATTAACTACCAGACTAATTACAGTTTATCATCCTCTTAAATTTTTTACACTGTATAAAAATATGCCTAAATAATATATTGTTAGTTTATTTGGGAGACTTATAAAAATGATATCATTCTTCACACAGTCTTATGGAGCTTACTATTTTAATGCAATGTTATGTCTCTAAAATTTATCCATGTTGTTGCCAGCAACTATGGCGTATTTTCACTGTTATTAAATACTAGAAGCCCAGTGCACGAAATTTGTACATGGGGGTCGGGGGACCCCTCAGCCCAGCCTGCACTCTCTCCAATGTGGGACCCCTTGAGGGATGTCTCACTGCCCCTTTTGTATCTTTTTCTGATTTATAGTTAAATATTTTTTATAAACTGTAGATTTCCTACATAATTTTATAGTGTATTTTTAATAGAAAGTTTTCATTTTAATACAATGTAATTTATTAATATTTTATGGTTAATGTTTTTTATATAAGAAATCTTTTCATCCTGTGTTAAAAAGATGTTCTCCTGTTTTGTTCCAAAAGATTTAAAGCTCTGCCTTTAATATGTATGTGTCAGATAGGGACCCATTGACATTTTTTGCATTTGAATAGGAATTGATCCAGCATCAGTGATTCAGTTCTTTCAACTAGAGGGTTTTTTTACGCACACCAAATGTGTGTGTTTTCCCCCTCACATCAGTTAATTTTCTAGTTCTCTGATACCAACTGGGTGTCTAACAATTCAATTCTGACATTAACCACCTAGAGTTAGCACAGACTCCATAGGTTCAGGGCTCAGTCCCAAAAGACTGCCCCCCACTTCAGATTCCAGTTAGAAGTCTAGGGCTTCTTATACTTCTAACTGGCTATAAATCAGAGGACCCCCACTACCTTTTCCTCAGGTTCAAACATTTGCTAGAATAGCTTACAGAACTCAGAAAACACTTTATGTTTACTGGTTTATAATAAAGCATTTATAAAGGATATAACTTAAGAACAACCAAATGGAAGATAAGCACAGGGAAAGGTCATGGAGATTCATCCCCTCTCCAGGTGTACCACCACCCTTCCTTCACATCATCCTTCTAACACCATGATGTGTTCCCCAACATGAAGCTCCACGAACCCTGATATTTGTGGAAGTCTCATTATGTAGGCATGCTTGATTAAGTAACTGGCTATTGCTAATTGAACTCAACCTCCAGCGCTCTTCCCCAGTTCTAATCCAAGGACCCAGAGTGACCCTTGCACAGACTCTTTTGGTGCCCCTTCTTTAATGTCTTGACTCAGATTCAAGGACTTTCCAGTCTGTTATATCTGGCTTAAGCCGGTAGGGCCATTGCAGCTTAATGGATCACCATGTAGACATTGTCCCAAGGCAATTGTGGGCTCATTTGTTGAATTTTCTTGTAGGGATCAGGTATTGCATTTCCTGCTGTCTATTACTGAAAGAGTTGCCTTATACATTTTATCTAGTTTTATGGTTGGTTATTACAAAAGAGCTAGTTTGGTATCACAGCCAGAAGTGGAAAATTTATAACCATTCATTAAAAAGAATTATTTACCATTAAAAACTGAATCCTTAACTTTGTGAAATAGTTTTATTTCCTAATAGAAAACAATGATTAAAGTGATTTAACAGATGAGTTTAAAAAAATTGCAAAGAACAAAATACATTTATATTTTGGAATACATTTTATGGCTTAGACATATAAATTGATATTTAGTAAAATAAGTATGAATCATAACTCTCATTTTCAGATGGCTTAATGGTGCAAATAACTCCAGAGACCATGGATGGCTTGCGGCTAGCTCTACGAGAACAAAAAGATTTTAAGATTACATGTGGGAAAGTTGATGCCATAGACCTGAGAGAATATGTGGACATTTGCTGGATAGATCCTGAAGAAAAAGGAAACAAAGGGTAGGAACTTTTTGTTACTAGAATATAATTGATTTAATGGAAAAGGGAAGGATAAAAACATCTTGTTAATAAAAAGAAATCTTTTATGAATAAATATAGAATTATACCATGAATTTCAGTGCTTATACTTCAATTAATGAATTCAGTCTGTTTTTTCAAACATATGCCTAACCAGCCTTATGTGTGTTTTCTTGGCCAGGATGCTGTCAGTTATTGAAGGGTGGTCAATTGGGAGGGGCCAATGACAATATGTCCATTGTGTAGCAGTGTGGGCTTGATGCCAGGGCTGAGAAAGGCAAGACACTTTTTCTATGGTAGGATATCTATTTTTGTCAAGTAAGTAAAGGATTCCCCTTGGATGTTTGTTTTTATACTGACTCACTGTAAATCAAACAACTGAATTTAATAATATATATTTTAGAGGCCTTATAGAATATTACTACCATTCATCCTCTCCTCTTTTCAATTGTTTCTTTTTTTTTTGCAAATTGATAATGGGTCTGGAGCAAAGAAAGAAGAGAGCTAATGCTGAAGGATTCTAAAATAGATTTTTTTAAAAATTTGTGAGACAGCTTTTCTGTTAAAAGACTAAGATATTTTAAACTTCAGGTATGAACTGGGCATATGAAAAAGTAGATAAAATTTGCTACATATCAAGAAATCTTGGTAAATGAATATAAACTAGTTTTAATTATTTTATATGTAATTGAGATGTCTTACTGCTGTTTTTAAACTTATAGCTCATAATTTTTCTCCTTATTCCATTTATTCAAATCTAATAATTCATGTCATAAGAAGCACTTTAGTAGTAATAATTCTTTTGTATTTCATTTTATTCTATAGTATTATTAGTTCTGTGGATGGAATATCATTACAAGGATTTCCAAGTGAAAAAATAAAACTGGAAGCAGATTTTGAAACTGATGAGAAGATTGTAAAGTGTACTGAGGTAACTGAAGAAGAAAATGCCTTTCCTTTATATGCTGGGTTTGGATATGGTTTTTGTTTTTTTAACTGGGAGATACCGCACTACTCAACTTCTGAATGTTTCAGTACAGCGTATTTCACTTTTTACATTATATCTTGAGACACATATTTCTTACCAGACTTTCTTTTATTATAACGCCAAATTTGGTTTTCCATAGTATTATTTTATTTTTTAAAAATATATTTTATTGATTTTTGTACAGAGAGGAAGGGAGAGGGATAGAGAGTTAGAAACATAAATGAGAGTCATTGATCAGCTGCCTCTTGCACACCCCCTACTGGGGATATGCCCGCAACCAAGGTACATGCCCTTGACCGGAATCGAACCTGGGACCCTTCAGTCCCCAAGCCGACGCTCTATCCATTGAGCCAAACCGGTCCCGGCTGGTTTTCCATAGTATTATTTATTTCAGGTTATTGTATGATGATACTGCCTGCCCGCTCACAGTTAAGTTTTGGCAGCATTTTCATTTTTATTTATAAAGAAATATATTGTTTGATCATCTAATTTTCATTTTTCTCTTATTTAACGAAAATTAAAAGATTTTGTTGACATCAATTTATAATCACATATACAAGTTATTTTTAAAAGCTTCTTTATTTTAAGAAGGGGACATGAAATTATAAACCTCTAAATTCTTAGTCTACCTCCATACTCACCTTCTCTCTACCTCCCAGGTCAGGCAATCAGTGTTACTTACAGCATGTGTATTCTTTGTGGATTTTATGCATGCACAAGATAGAAAATACATAGATATCTACAAGATAGAGGATACAGAAGTTATAGAACATTATTACTTTATTCAATCTTAACTTTATTAAAATGTCCTTATAAGATGGTTACCTTTCAGGGTAGATTCATTAGTACTTTCTCTAAACTGAGTTAACAAGACTCTCGTTGCTACAGGCTAACTTTAGGCAAAAATAGCTAAGTCATTTCCAAGTTCTATGACCTTTGGTTTTAAGTTAACTTATCCTATCTAATAAAGAGATAATATGAAAATTGACAGCCACTCCAACACACAAGATGGCCAGCAGGGGAGGGCAGTTGGGAGGCACCAGGCCTGCAGAGGAGGGCAGTTGCGAGGGGACCAGGCCCGCAGGGGAGGGCAGTTGGTGGTGACCAGGCCTGCAGAGGGCAATTAGGGGGCGATCTGACTGGCAAGTTATCAGGCCTGAAGAGGAGGACAGTGGGGGGCAACCAGAGTGGCAAGGGAGGGCAATTAGGGGCAATCATGCTGGCAGGGGAGCAGTTAGGTATCGATCAGGCTGGCAGGGGAGTGGTTAGGGGGTGCTCACGCTGGCAGGCAAACGTGGTTAGAGGCAGCCAAGACCGGTTTAGCTCAATGGATAGAGCATCGGCTTGGGGACTGAAGGGTCCTGGGTTCGATTCGGGTCAAGGGCATGTACCTTGGTTGCGGGCATATCCCCAGTAGGGGGTGTGCAAGAGGCAGCTGATCGATGACTCTCTCTCATCGATATTTCTAACTATCTCTCTCCCTTCTTTTCTGTAAAAAAATCAATAAAAAAAAAAATATATATATTTTTTAAAAAGTGGTTAGGGGCAATCAGGCAGGCAGGCAGACAGGCGAGTGGTCGGGAGTCAGCAGTCTGCGTTGTGAGAGGGTTGTCCCAGATTGGAGAGGGTGCAGGGTGGGCTGAGGGACACATACCCTGTCCCGTTCACAAAATTTGTGCACCAGGCTTCTAGTATATAATATAGATCATGATTTGTTTGTATGTGTAGGTCATGGTGTGTGGGTGCATGTGTAATGCTCCTATATATATATATTGCTCTTAAGCTAATGAATTTCATGGCACTAGCATTAGAATTTTATTAATAAAGTTGATATGAAAGTAGCAATTGTTGCATTTTTCAACATGACTTGTTTCCTAATTTCAGGTGTTCTACTTTCTAAAGGACCAGGATGTGTCTATTTCAGCAACTCGTTACCAATTTGCAAAAGAAATAGCCATGGCGTGTAGTACTGCACTATGCCCTCACCTGAAAACTTTGAAGAGCAATGGGATGAACAAAATTGGCCTCCGAGTGTCCATCGACACTGATATGGTGAGGCATGTTTTTGCGATGTATTTTTTAAATGAATTTATCATATATTAAAATAATCAAAAGGTGTTTCTTTAACCTTTTATTTTGGGATGAATGAAGACAATGAAAATTTATTGAACATCAGTTTGTGCACACAGTTCATGTACCGGTACATTGTCTCCCTATTCTCCTCAATGGGTCAGCAAACTTTTTTTGTAAAAGGCTACACAGTAAATATTTTTGGCATTGTGGGCTGAATGATATCTTTCACAACTACTCAATTCTTCTATTATAGTGCAGAAGCAGCCGTAGATAGAATGTGAACTAATAGGCTCGGCTTTGTCCCAATGAAACTGTTAAAAAACAGTGGCCGATTGGCTCTCAGGCCATAGTTTGCTGACCCCCTGCTCCACAACAATCCTTCTTTTTTTCAGTTTATTATTCTGAATAGATTCTATATTCAAACTATTTAAACTTATTCAAAGTGTATATATAACAGTACAACTTCACTGGACATTTCCAAAATACAGCATTCCCATTGTAGTCTATGTAACTGGCGCCTTGATTCCTGGCTACAATGCAAATGATGCCCAGTAGAGTAATAGACATGGAAAGATCTCTTTCCATCCTTAACTCCAAATCCTTTTATCCTCCTCAGTATTCCCTCTCATTCTTCCTGGTGAGGCAGTCAAATGATACCCATTTTTATGTATTCTTTGTGATTTTATAACATGTACAAGCAAGTGAGTGTGTGTCCTTTTCATTTCCCCTTTTACACTGTATATATATATATTTTTTACCTTCTTTAACTTAATGTTCCTTAAGAGAGATTTCACATTATCACATATTCTTTTTAAGTTGCACAGTAGTAGTTTATTATATAAGTATACTCTTATTTAACTAAGTAGAGGCCCGGTGCATGAAAATTCATGCATTGGAGCAGGGGTCTCTCAGCCTGGCCTGCTCCCTCTCAGTCCAGGAGCCCACAGGGGTGGGAGGCGACCCAGAAATCAGGGGACAGCAACGCCCCCATCACACCTCTGCTGCTGCCACAAGCCTTGGCCAGCCCCTGGTTCCCTAAGCCTCAGGCTTGCCTTTGCTTTGGGTGTTGGCTGGGCTACTGCCATCTGAGGCTTGCCTGCACCTTGGGCTGGCCCTATGTGGCTGCGGGGCTGAGGGTAAGTCCAGCCGCACCGTGCACCTGCGACCCCCTCCCCCCTTGCAGGGCTGAAAGGATTGGGGGAATCCAGGGAGGGGGCTGAGGGAGCACTGCCATCTTTGTGATGATGTGATGGTCAATTTGCATATTCCCTCTTTATTAGATAGTATTCTTTTTAAAATATATATATATTTTATTGATTTTTTTACAGAGAGGAAGGAAGAGGGATAGAGTGTTAGAAACATCAGTGAGGGAGAGACATTGATCAGCTGCCTCTTGCACACCCCCTACTGGGGATGTGCCCGCAACCAAGGTACATGCCCTTGACCGGAATCGAACCTGGGACCTTTCAGTCCACAGGCTGACGCTCTATCCACTGAGCCACACCGGTCTTGGCTAGATAGTATTCTTATATATTTTTTATATGCACTAATTTATATTTAGATAATCCACAATATTTTGCCTTTGTGAAAGTATATCAGAGACATTTTTAGAATTGTCTGGTCCAAAAATGTACTCAATAGGTATTACAATACTGTCTAAAATAGAGGTTATACCAATTTATATTTCTACCATAATTTTGAGAGGGTTCTTTCCCTTCACATACTTATCAAAGCAGTATGTAATCAAACTTCTGAACTTTACCAATGTGATAGGTAAAAAATAGTACTCCAGTATTATTGTAACGCACATTTCTGTTTCCAACATCCAACATAATAAATTTCAAAGCAGTTTCTTCTTATCTAAACACTCATCTAAACATGAATGAATTCAAATGCTGAAGATTTACTTCAGTCAGGATGTGTTATACTCAGAGTTCTTATTGGAAAGAACTTATATTTTCATCTCACTGTTAAAAGTTCCTTTTTCAAGGAAATGCCTGACATTTGTGTGTTATTTGAGTAAGCACTGTTAATATTTCTTTGGGCAAATTAAAATATAATTTTTATCAGCAACATTAAATTCAAATATTAAATATTATGCAACAACAAATTAAAAATATTTTGAAGTAGATTATTTTTATTAACACCATGTGGTTTGCATTTAAGTCATGTTGGTAATCATTCAAAAGCTAGCCCTTCAATGTGTTTACATGCTCATTGAGAAGAAACTTAAAATATGAATTACTGGCAATTTTTTTATTTTAATGGGATATGTAGGAGGAACAATTACAATTTATGTGATAGATGGATAAAAGAAATGTAGGAGAATATTTTATGAATAAAATGCCAATTCTTAACATGCTTAAACTGGATGTTATTTTTAGTTATTTTTACATTCATATATGAGCTAAACAAGATTGCTCACTTTCTAGGATTGACTTATCAAGATTTTTTTTTTCCAGGTTGAATTTCAGGCAGGATCCGAAGGCCGACTTCTTCCTCAGCATTATCTAAATGATCTTGATAGTGCTCTAATACCTGTGATCCATGGCGGAACCTCCAACTCTACTAGTTTACCATTAGAAATAGAATTAGTATTTTTCATTATAGAAAATCTTTTTTAGTGAAAAGATATTAGTGAATCATAGTATTTATATTGCTACTGATTTGTTAAAACTAACTCCAGCACTAAACCTAAAATGCCATGAACACTAAAAGTAAATATGTTTAATGTTTGAAACACATAGAAATTTTGCTTTATAGGCAGGAATGATTTTTAAAAAATCATTAGCACAATTTCAATCTCTAAAAACTTATGCGATCCAGTTTTTGAAGATTTACACTTAATAAAAATACTAAAAAGACAAGGATTACTTCTGTCTTCAAGAAATTTGTAGCATTTATTGTGTTGTTTAAATGCTATGCCAAGGTATCTGCACTTAGTAATACCTCTTTATGCCAAGATCAGTTTTAATGAAGGCTCTTTTTCAGATGTAACCTTATAAAGGGAAATATCTTTTCTGTATATGGCAGTGAGATTATGGTTTCTAAAGTCTGTTAAAAATATACTTTAATGGCGCAGACCAGTTTCCATATTAGACTTATTATGATTTTCTTTGAATAAGGCAGACAAATTATTTGTATAATTGGAGTGGAGCCCTACCTCCATGACTAGATAAACTCTGTTTGGATTAAAATCAGAATTTTCCCTTTTTCTTCTCAAATTATTCCATATATGGTTTTCTCTTGATTAAATGGGTATTCTTAAAATAATTGTGGGTGCTTCACGATTCTGTGCTTCTATATTTAAGTATATTGTTTTTATAGTGAGAACATGTCATTTGGTATGTGTTTTATAAATCTTTAATAATTTATAAATAGGCAATATTTTTGTATTGCACTATATTATTTTTTCTCTTTTCTTTCCAAAGTATACCACTATATTTGCCACTTATATAAAAAGTGATTGACGACAGGCCAGATGACCCTTGAAATAGTCATTATGTAGCAATAAAATGAAGCATGAAACAGATTTTTATTATTTTGACTTTAAACCTTAGAAGTTTCTTGTTAAGTCTACATATTTTCATTGACACTGATGTATTTATTATAAACTTCAATGAACTACTTTTGCATATTTTAAATTCTTTATATGGTAGTTATTTTTTATAACAGAATATTAACATAAGTTAAATTCTATGTATTTAAAACTATTACAGAACTTTCCTCTTTACTTTAAAAAGCAAAATAAGAAATGTGTTAAAAAAAAAGTTATTGAGTATATTTTTAGTTAGTACTGTCATTTAAGTTATATAAAATATCATATTTTGATGCTTTTTTTATTCTTAAGTGAAATATATATGTTTTTGTATAAAAATTTTATAAATCTCAAGAAAAAGAGATTACACTAAAGAGCCCTCTTTTAAAAAAAATATTTAGGAAAGACCAAAAACAGTTATAACTCAGGAACTGAGAGGTCTTAGGTTAGGAGAGGCTAAGAATTTTAATCAGATTGGTCATATGGTTCCTACTAAATCACATCTGTAGTACTAGCCAAAGACAGTTTAGAGAATATCAGTCTTTTGGAAGTAGCTACTTCAAAAACAGTGTGAAATGTTGCAAATATTAAATAAAATGATAACATATAACTTGTTAAATTAATTGCAATAGCATAAGGTAAAAGCAATGACATATCAAACTCAATTTGTTTTCTTTATATCGTGTTTATTTTGCAATATAAATTATTGCACAATCTATGAATACTGAATATAAAATAAACAAATAGTAGAGGGCTCTTCCATGATGATTTGTTTTTTGAAAAAAACTACATTTCATAATAATTGGAATTATGTGCTTTTGGAGGCATCTTTTAAAGTATTCTTTGAAATCCTAGCTGGTTTGGCTCAGTGAATAGAGCGTCATCCTGTGGACCAGAGAGTCCCAGGTTAGAATCCAGTCAAGGGCACATACCTTGGCTGCAAGCTCCTCCTGCAGCCCGGGCCCTGGTCGGGGCTCCTGCAGGAGGTAACCAATCGGTGTATCTCTTACATCGATGTTTCTGTCTTCCCCTTTCCCTTCTACTCCCTCTAAAAATCAGTGGGAAAATATCTTCAGGTGAGGATAAAAAGAAAATAAAGTATTCTTTGTACAGTATGTCTCTGAATGCATTTGTTGTTTATTTTGGTCATGTTCTTCATATTGGTACTTACAGTTTAAAATTTTTAAAGGTGAAAAATAGAAATGGTTCTTTGTACTCAGTCTACAATTATCTGTTTTTGGTCTTATGCCTTTTAATACTACTCTCTTTCTCTGAATTTTGAAATGTGAAATATAATCTAGGTCATTGTTTTATGGAGCCATCGAACAAACTTTGGGTATATATACTTGCTCTCTGCAGAGCACTTTATTATCCTTCACTGGTTGAAAGATGAATAAATAGTTCTTTCCCTCTTGGAGCTGAATGTGTGAAGTAGATCATTAACAAAGTTAAAGTAATTGCTGTAATAGGAATATAGATCTAGTCTAGATGGTTGGAAAACAATCCAGGATAACCATGCCAATAATGAGAAAGCACCCTGAGAACCTGTTAGATGGTCGGCACTAAACTTGTCTAGGCAAGAATTGAAAATCTAAAAAGTAATATGTAAAAAGACCAAACTTTCCCTCATAAGGCAATTTACTTTAAAGACTCTTGTGCCCTAGCTGATTTGGCTCAGTGGATAGAGCATCGGCCTGTGGACCTAAGGGTTGCGGGTTCAGTTCCAGTCAAGGGCATGTACCTTGGTGGAAGGTCCTCCCTGGCACTGGCACCTTGGTCAGGGCTCCTGCAGGAGGCAACCAATTGGTGTGTTTCTCTCGCATCGATATTTCTCTCTCGTCCACACACTCTGAAAAAAAAAAAAAAAATCAATTGAAAAATATCCTTGGGTGAGGATTAAAATAGTCTTCTGTGCGAATGTCTTACCTTATAATTTAATTATTATAAAAGTAGTAGCCTGACATTGGTATCTCAAATACATGTCCAAGTTTATAACAGCTTGGATTTAGATACTGTTTTATAAGTAAACGAGCGGCCCAGTACATGAAAATTTATGCAAATTTATGCACTAGAGGGGGGAATCCCTCAGCCCAGCCTGCCCCCTCTCACAGTCCAGGAGCCCTCAGGGGCAGGAGGCCATCAGGGGAAGGTGACACCCCCATCACACCTCTGCTGCCATCACTGTTGGCAGCACAAGCCTCTGCCAGCCCTGGTTACCTGAGCCTCAGGCGGCCCTGGGAGGCTAGGCAGCCGCCATCCAAGGCTTACCTGTGCTGGCCCTGGGCAGCTGGGGTCTGGGGGACTGGGGGCTCTGGAAGCAGATGCGTGGAGTGGCCAGACTCACCTAGGGGCGGGCCCGGCCGTGCCACACGCCTGCCATCCTGGTGGGGCTGAGGGGACTGGCGCCACTATCTTGTGACTGTGGGTGCTGCCATGTTTGAGGGTGTGATGGTCAATTAGCATATTCCCTCTTTATTAGATAGGATAACAGCTTTTCTTTTTTTTAACAGCAAGTATAACTTTACTCATTTTTAACAATATCTTTTTAAAAATTTCTTAATTGATTAAGGTATTACATATATGTCCTCATTCCCCCATTACTTAAACAATATATCTTGAAATAAACTATAAACCTCCGAACCATGCTAGGTTTTAATTTTTCTTTGTGATTAAAAAAGTGTTCCATATATATACATGATTCACATATTAGAAAAAACTTCATCAATGAAAGTTTTACTTCCCACCTTCTACCAGTGTGCATATACTTTGTTTCTTCCCACTCTTCAAACTCAAAATATAATCATTTTTGTTAGTTTCTTGTGTATCTGCCTAAGTATGGGTGCAGTAATAGTAAATACATAAGTATATATATTTTTTTTAATTTTTACCCAAGGTTATGTTTTCATCAGTTTGAGAGAGAGAGAGGAAGGGGGAGAGAGGTTGACATGGATGTGAGAAAGAAACATTGATTGATTACCTCCTTTTGCATCCCACCCAGGGATCGAACCCACAATGTTTTTTGTGTAAGGGACGAGGCTCCAACCAACTGAGCCAGCTGACCAGGGCTCCCCTCATTCATATACAAATGTAGTATACTATTTATACTGAAGAATACCATTTCAATTATACTTCAATTATTTTTAATTATGTGGTTTATATTTAGAATCTTAAAAGACTGTATTGCTTCCCACTTTTACTCAATAATTGATAAAAGCATCTTATTGTGGAAAGGCAAGCAAATCCATTATTGAAATTATAACCACATGTTTCAGTAGGATGGTTATTTTCTCTTAAATTTTCATTACTAAAACACTTGCGTGGTTATTTTTTATTTCATCTGTATTTAAAATCTTTGTTTTTTTCTACCAGACATTAAGCCGCACCATCTAAACTTATCTTTTACCACTGAACACATTTTTTAAAAAATGAGATTATTAGTAGTTTTAAATATTTACATTCTATGTTTAGGGTTTAGCTTGGAATGATACACAATTTAACATGTAACACCTTTTGGGAAATATTTTCTGCATTTGCATAGATAAAATTGAAACCATATTTTCATGCTTTTTACGAATGGAGAAACAGGTCTATTTCAAGTGCTTTATTATGAACCTCTGAATATGATCAAGGTTTTTTCTCTTTGGTAAAATAAGATGCTTGAAAACCTCCAAGATAACCCACAATGTTCCATGCATCCTGGTATTCACACATCCTGGTATTCACTCACTATTGGTCTTTATAACCAATAGAATATGGTAGAAGGAATTGGATGTCATTCCCACGATTACGTTATAAAAGACTCTGTTTTCCATCTTTGCTGCATTTATCTCCACTCTCATCCTTTTCTCTCTCATCTCCTTCCCTCTCTGTCTCTCTCCCCCTCTATTGGATCACTCCTCTTGGGGAAGCCATTTGCCACGTGTGGGCAGCGCCATGGAGAAGCCCACTTGGCGAGGAACCGAAGTCTGACAACAGCCACAGGAGTGGAAGTGGGTCCTCCATCCCTAGTCAAGCCTTCAAACTGCAGCCCCAGCCAAAACTTTGCAGCCTCATGGGAACCACTCAACTAAGCCACTCACTCTCAGATTCTTGAATTTCAGCAACTGTGTAAAATAATAAACATTTGTTGTTTTAAAGTGATGTTTTCTAGTGATTTATTTATATACAGCAACAAATATGAGTTAACAAGTAGAAGATTCCTTTATCTTTGAGCAGCTGACGTAAAACTAGCTAAAAATTATTAAATGCTCTAACAGCATATTATCAAATTATCAACATTTATGGATTCCATGCCACAAGTAATGTGTGCTAAGGCAGAGGACACTAAGAGAAAAAGTAGGATTTGGTCATGTACAAATAAAAGATGCAATTATGGGAAACTTCCTGTTTCTGGAAATTACATGCTAAGATATTTAGATCATGCTCCTGCCGAAAACAACTAAAGCTGATTAAGATACCAAAAATCATATTAAAACATGAAGGACATTTTAAGGCAGCAAGTGATGTCCTGTCCAAAGGTAAAAAGAGAAGTGAAGTGAACATGGGGCTCTACTGTGACAGCCTTAAGGAGTAAGGGGGACAGATAGCAAAGTTCAAGGCCACACAAGGTGGTGAATCTAACAATTTTCCCACAAGAGGCCAAGACCTATCCCAGTTTCAGTCTTTGGATGAGGATGAACCAGAAGTATAAATTATGCAAAAGTATAGCCAAGGTTAGATTTGCCTACATTGCACAAAGAATCTTAAGCATTTAACTTGCTTTTAAGGTAGTCTCACACTGGAGATGTCTCCTGGTGGCTGTCACCATGGCAAAAATGAAATCCTCTCCATAGAAAAGGAATTTCACTGGAGGCCTCAAATTACTTTTCAAGTGTAGCATCTAAAGCAATAAAAAATAAAAGGGCAAATGGAAACTAGTCTCCAGAGGCAAGCATTAGTAGAAACAATGCAAACTCATATAAAATTAGGCATTAGATTTATGCCTTCTGTGTTTAAAGAAATAATAAAAATTTAAAAATCAAGCATGAGGTACCTAAAGAGCAGATGTGGGTTATGAAATTTGGAAATGACTTAGCTATTTTTGCCTAAAGTTAACCTATAGCTATGAGAGCCTTAACTCTGCTTAGAGAAGGGTACTAATGAGTCTACCCTATAAGATCACCATAGTATAAGGGACATCTTAATAAAGTTAAGATTGAACAAAGAATGTTTTATAGTTTGTATGACCTATTTAGTTTCTATCTTGTGCATGTATAAAAATCACAATGCAGTAACACTGATTGCCTGATATGGGAGACAGAATGAGGATGGGTATGGAGGTAGACTAAGGATTTAGGGGCTTTATAATTTCATATCCCTTTCTTAGAAAAGAAACATTTAAAAACAACTTGCATGTGTCATTATAAATTATATGAATAAAATATTTTAATTTTTGTTAAATAAGAGAAAAATGAAAATAATATGGTCCAAAAACATATCTATTTATTTTCTGAGTGGCCAGATTATTATGACAACTTGATGTTTGTAGGCAAATTAGCCGTACCCTGCATCATATGGAATATGGAAGCTAAAGGCCTGTTCCAACACCTTTGCTGTCTGCAATTACCAAGATAAAACGTCTCCAATTCGCACAAGAACACAAGGATTGGAAAGTCGACCATTGGAAAAAAGTCATGTGGCCGATGAATCACGTTTCCAGTTGCATCATGCAGATGGCAGAGTGAAAATTTGGCGGAAACAGCATGAAAGCATGTACCCCACGTGCAGGAGTACAACCCTTCAAGCTGGTGGAGGCAGTGTTATGGTTTGGGGCATGTTTTCCTGGCATGATTTGGGCCCTTTAATTCGTGTGGAACAACGTCTGAATAGTACAACATGCTTAAGTATCGTTGCTCATCAAGTTCATCCTATCATGTTGATGGTGTATCCCAATGGAGATGGCTTCTCCCAACAAGACAATGCGCCATGCCACGGTGCTCACATTGTGCAGGAGTGGTTTCAAGAACATGAGGGAGACTTTACCTTGCTTAGGTGGCCCCCACAAACACCAGATCTCAATCCAATTGCGCATTTGTGGGATGAAGTTAAAAGAGCCATCAGGCAGCTGGTTCCACAACCATCCAATCTCACAGAACTGGACAGTGCTATTCATCAGGCATGGTGTCAGGTTCCTCACATCACCTTTCAGCATCTCGTGGAGTCAGTGCCAGGAAGAATCATCCAGTATAGAAGGCAAAAGGTGGCCCAACGAAGTACTGATGGGGTGATCATAATAATCTGGCCACTCAGTGTATATAAAAGGCTGAGTGACCATCAAACTGGCTGGTAGATATGATGCACACTGATCACCAAGGGGCAGACGCTCAACACAGGAGCTGCCAAGCTGTGGTGACTTGGCAGTGGTGATTCTCAGATGATGCACTCCGGAACCAAACCAGAGAGGAGGGAGCCCAATTCTGGGGTGCATCACCCAAGTACCACCCTCTCACAATCTGGGACCCATCAAGGGATATTTGAGAACTGGTTTCGGCCCAATCCCCACAGGCCAGGCTGAGGGACCCTCACCTGCTGGAGGGACCCCCTCACTCTGCAGACGCCCTTGGAGCCACAGCAAGGCCCCACGTGCAACTGGCAAGGGTGGGGCCTCGGGAGGCTGGCTCCAGGGTGTGTCCAGCCTATCTTGTCCAGTCCCACCGCACTGGTCACCTCCTAATTAATCTCCTTTCAATCAAATCCGTGCACGGGGATACTAGCTTCTAAATAAACAAAGATAGCAATGCTGCCAAAACTTAACTGTGAGCTGGCAGGCAGTGTCATCATACAATAGCCTGAAATAAATACTATGGAAAACCAAATTTGGCGTTATAAAAGTCTGGTAAGAAATATGTGCCTCAAGATATAATGTAAAAAGTGTAATACGCTGTACTAAAACATTCAGAAGTTGAGTAGTGCGGTATCTCCCAGTTAAAAAAACAAAAAACAAAAACCATATCCAAACCCAGCATGTAAAGGGAAGGCATTTTCTTCTGCAGTTACTTCAGTACACTTTACAATCTTCTCACCAGGTTCAACATCTGCTTCCCGTTTTTTTTTCATTTTTTAAAATTAAGGTATTATATGTGTACATATCTTACCACTGCCCACCCCTCCCCCCAGTTTTATTTTTTCACTTGGAAATCCTTGACATGATATTCCATCCACAGAACCAACAACACTCTATAGAATAAAACGTAATACAACAGACTTATTACTACTGAGGTGCTTCTTATGACACGAATGATTAGATTTGAACAAACGGAATTCAATAAAAATTATAAAAGTTACACATTTATAGCTTCTACATTTATCAAATTTCGAGTCCCGCCTGCGGTTGCCTTGGCAGGACCGGACCCAAAGATTTGGAGGGCCTCATCCTCTGCCCCTGTCTTCCCAGACCCCGGGTCTGTCTTCAAAACTACCTACCTTTTTCCTGACAACTTTTCCAAAAAATAAAAATAAAATTCGCGCGACACTTGAACAGCCCCACAGCCGCGGAGAACTGCGGATCCTGCGCACCAGCCACAGCCTCTGCGCCTGCGCATTCTCTCCACCCGCGCCACTTCCGCCCCGGCTTCCCAGGCTGCTCTGCGGTCGCGCTGGGAGACTGACGGCTCACCCCTCTGTGCCGGAGTTGTGCTTTCACGTCACCTGCGAAGGGCCACCCGCGGTGCCCAGGGCCTAGCGCTGGCGGGCTGCGGGCGTCTGTCACCATGGAAACGACCGCCGGGGGCCCTGGTAAGTGCCACTGACAGCTCCGCGGAACGGGCTCCACTTCCTGCACTTTCCTTGCCCTGGGAAGAGATAGTGAGACTCTGCTCTGGCAGCACCCCTCCTTTCTTCCCATCCTGGCGAAGCGCATTCCATTGGCCTGGAACCTTGGTTCTGCGTGGGTGTTAAGAGGGGGAAAAACAAAAACCAACACTGTGCTGGCGACCAAGAATGGCAAGAATATCGCGCCCTTCTTCGTTTTTTTGTTTTGTTTTTGTTTTTGTGTTGTTTTTTTAAGAGAAGTTTTAGGGTCATAGGAAAATTGAACGGGAGAAACAGATTCCCCATCTATCCCCTACCTGGATACCTGCATAGCCTCCCCATTATTAACATTCCCCAGTGAGCATTATAATTGTGAACCTGCGTTGACACATCGTAATCACCCAAAGTCCTCAGTTTACCAGGGTTCACTCCTGGTGCTGCACATTACAAATGTATAATGACATGTATCCAGTCCTGTGGTGTCATACAAAAATAGTTTCTTTGCTCCCAAATACTCTGTGACCCAACCCTTATCCCACCCCAATCCCTGGCATTTTTCCATTGTTTTTCAGCTTTTTCTCATTGCTGTTGTAGGATATGGCATACTTTGGGACAGATCTGAATTGAAGTGTTTTGGTCTTGGTTAACTCATATTAATATTTAATTAAGATAAAATCTGGTCTGCCAAAAAGTAATTATAGATATGGGAATTATGTATATTTGTACACACTAGATAAATCTGTGAATATTAACTCAGGTGTTTACTTAGTCATTCATATAAATGTTGCTGAGACTCATAATCTGAAGGTAAATATGCTTATCTGTGTAATTTAAGGTTCTAAGTTGTTAATATAAATATGGAATGGGGCTTCTGGTAGAGAAAACAACTAAATTGTATAAAATTTAGAAGCTTTTAATATAGCTTTGGCTTAACATGTTTTACTTATTTAAGGGGCCTGGAATCCATGTAACACAGTGTGAAAATTCCTGCTTTAAAATATCTGTATCTTACCAGGTTTTTTTTTTTTCTTTCTACATGCTTTTTCATTCTTCTGAAATCCAGACTATCCTATATGTTTACTAATTATTACTTATATTGTATGTGTCATGCTTACATATCTATATATATATTAAATACCTGCATATCATACTTGTTCTCATTTTTTAAAATCTCTTGTTTTTCTCCATTTAATTACTTTATTCTCTCTGCTGTGCCCTTTTTTATTAAAAGTATTTACCCCATATGAAACAATCTATTCTTTTTCATGAAAATGCTTTTATTTTAGGATCTTGGAGTGAAAATATACTGCAGTATTTTCTGAGAAATAACCAGATCAAAACAGAAGATGGTGCCCAGATCATCTGGTATCATGCTGCTAACCATAAGGCACAAATGAATGAGGCACTGAAAAGTAAGTCAGTGCAGTTATTTATATTTACACTAGTGGCCTGGTGCATGAATTCATGCACTAGTGGGGTTCCTTGGCCTAGCCTGCATCCTCTCACAATCTAGGACTCTTAGGGGGATGTTGGAGACTTGGTGCATGGATTCAGCTCAATCCCATAAGCCCTGATACTCTGAAATTCATCAGTCTTTTCCATGTTTCCATACCTATGTGTTGAGTGTCTGCCCCCTAATGGTCAGTGCGCATCATAGCTACCAATCAAACACTTAGCATATTAGCCTTTTATGCACACTGAGTGGCCAGATTATTATGACCACCCCATCAGTACTTCGTTGGGACACCTTTTGCCTTCTATACTGCGGCGATTCTTCCTGGCATTGACTCCACAAGATGTGGAAAGGTGATGCGAGGAATCTGACACCATGCCTGATGAATAGCACTGTCCGGTTCAGTGAGATTGGATGGTTGTGGAACCAGCTACCTCATGGCTCTTTTAACTTCATCCCACAAATGCTCAATTGGTTTGAGATTTGGTGATTGTGGGGGCCACCTAAGCAAGGTAAAGTCTCCCTCATGTTCTTGAAACCACTCCTGCACAATACAAGCACCATGGCATAGCATATTGTCTTGTTGGAAGAAGTCATCTCCCTTGGGATGCGCCATCAACGTGATAGGATGAACTTGATCAGCAACGATACTTAGGTATGTTATGCTATCCAGACGTTGTTCCACACAAATTAAAGGACCCAAATCATGCCAGGAAAACATGCCCCAACCATAACACTGTCTCCACCAGCTTGAAGGGTTGTACTCTTGCATGTGGGGTGCATGTCTTCATGCTGTTTCCGAGAAATTCTCACTCTGCCATCTGCATGATGCAACTGGAAATGTGATTCATGGGACCACATGACTTTTTTCCAATGCTCAACTGTCCAATCCTTGTGTTCCTATGTGAATTGGAGATGCTTTATCTTGGTAACTGCAGACAGCAAAGGTGTTTGAACAGGCCTTCAGCTTCCATATCCCATACGATGCAGTGTACGGCTAATTTGCTCACAAACGTCGGCTGTCATAATAATCTCGCCATTCAGTGTATATAGATTGGGTAATAGATGAATTCAACTCTTTAAAAAAAATTTTGAGCATATTGGCAGGTACCAGAGACCTTTCCTCTTTCTCAAAAGGACACTGGCCATGGCACCTGCAGTCCCTGTTTTGTAAATATTCTTTCATTTGGACAGGTGCTGCCCACATGATAGAGGCTGATGTCCTCCTTCCAAGTGAGGGATCAGACCAGAGCCAACCGATCATGGCCCATCCTCCTGAAACAAGTAGTGATAATACTCTCCAGGAATGGCTGACTGAAGTTACGAAAAGCAATAAAGGCATCAAGCTGGATTTTAAGAGGTATTTGTACAAATATATTCAGTCTTCTGGTTGTTACAGAATAATTTTTTTTTGGGGGGGGGAGGAGTTAATAGCTTCTCATATCTGTGCCTGACTAACTAACTTTGTACTTTTACTTACACTGAAATGGAATTGCAGACTGATACATTCTAGGAATGGATCTAAGACACACTGAGCTGTTTAAAGTCAATTTTTATAAAGGAATTTATTGTAAGTGACCATTGTGGTAATACAACAGTCAATTTACAATGCTACCTCTGCTAAAAGGTAGTCCAGAAGAGAAGGAATTGAGAGAATTTTGTTGAAGTAGTTAATGCATATGCTACTTGATTTATGTTGTTATATTTGTGTATAGGGAATTGTTTAGATTTCTTCAATAACTGAAATGTTCCTTAAAAACAGTATTTTGGAGGCATTGATAATGAAGAGCAAGATTAAGTGTAATTTACTTCCTGGTAGCTTTCATAGTAAGTTTTATTTTTCTGGTATTTTGGTAGTGTGAAAATTATAAGTCAAGCCAGAAATATATTGGGTCACCCTTGAAGCTCACCATAAGTACTAACGCAACTTCTATGGGAATCTAAGACTTGTGGTAAGCCTTTTTCATCTCTGAACAATATTTTTAAATTGAATGGTCTTAAAAAATTAATAAGGATTTGGAAATCTGCCTGGTTGGTGTTGCTCAGTGGTTGATCATTGACCCATGATCGGGGAAGTCACAGTTTGATTCCTGGTCAGGGCACATGCCCAGCTTATAGTTTTGATCCCCAGTAGGGATGTGCAGTAGGCAGCTGATTCTCTCTCATCATTGATGTTTCTGTCCCTCTCTGCCTCTTCCTTCCACCCTCTGGAGAAAAAAAAATGTATTTGGAAATCTTTTATATATATATATTTTATTGATTTTTTTACAGAGAGGAAGGGAGAGAGATAGAGAGCTAGAAACGTCGATGAGAGAGAAACATCTATCAGCTGCCTCTTGCACACCCCCTTACCGGGGATGTGCCCGCAACCAACATACATGCCTCTAATTGGAATCGAACCTGGGACCTTTCAGTTCGCAGACCGACGCTCTACCACTGAGCCAAACTGGTTTCAGCGTGTATTTGGAAATCTTATTCCTAGAGTTATTAAGATGACTCTCGTCATTTATTGTGGGACTAAATAAACCAGTAAACCTCATTGTACTGTTGGTGAATTCTAGAGCTATTTACAGTAAGTGGAAAAACTTTTAAGATGGCGAATGTTTCAATTCCATTTCATTGACAAAGAAATTTAGTCCTAGAGTGGTTAAGTGATTTTCTCGGGGACAACAGCTGAGCTTGGCAGCTGGGGGAGGTTTTGGCAGATTTCAGATTTCCTGGAGCCAGTTCAATATACCATAGAACAAAATACTTGGATCTTCAATGCCTGGTGACTCAAAGTTTTAGATCTCCTTGCCTCTCCATGTGTTTAGTTTTTTTTTTTTTTTGTATGATTATTATTGCCCCTTGAGTTATTCCCTGAGGTGTATTCTTTGGCTCCTTGCCAGTCAGATGAGCTCATTCATTCTTTTAGATATATATTTACTGATTTCAGAGAGGAAGGAAGAGGGAGAGAGAGATAGAAACTTCCATAATGAGAATCATTGATCAGCTGCCTTCTGCACGCCCCCTGCTGGGGATCAAGCCCACAACCTGAGCATGTGCCCCAACCAGGAATAAGTTCATACGTTGATGCTTAACCACTGAGCTACAACAGCAGGGCAGCTCATTCATTGTTCAACATTGACAGCTACCACAAAAGGCCAGTAAAAAAAAGACTTTTGGTAATAATGTATTTGAAGGGTGCTGCCCATCTGAGTAAAGTTTACACTCGGAAGCAAAACTCTTCACCTTCTCAGTAAGAGAAGCTGAATGACCTTTTTGTCAAATTTTACTAGCTCTTATTTTGTACCTTAAGTTAATTTGTTAAGTAACAATAATAACTAAGTAATATATGATGATTTAAAAGTTTTATTTGGAGTAACAAACTCCTTTGTTTTAGCCAAAATATTTCCCTTAGAATGTAATTTTAAATGAGTTATTGCAATTTTAAATATGATTTTAATTATGTCACCCCTAATTTTTAAATGAATTTAATAGAAAAATAGGATGTGATACTCAGAAGTTTGACATACAAGTAATTTTTTAGGAAAAAAACCTATAAAAATGAAGTTTAAATTTTTTTCTGGGGATTTAGAAAAATACTAAGCAAAGAGAAATTTTAGAGAGTATTCTGATCAGGACTTCCCTCTTCAAATTATCAATGTGGCAAACCTTTAGACAGTCTTTTATGGGAAACAATACTAATACATATAAGAACTGAGAATGTAATTAGAATTACATGGAATTTATAGTTTAACTAGAGGCCTGGTGCATGAAATTTGTGCGTGGGAAGGGTTCCTAGGCCTGGCCAGCAATCAGGGCCAATCCTTGGGGCAACTGGTGGGGCAATTGGGGCCCCTGCTGGCACCTGCCTTGGCTGGCCTGGTGCTCCCTTCTTGCTGGCCCCACCCCTTGCTGCTGCTGGTTGGGGCCTGCGGGCTAGGGGCAGCTCCTGCGTTGAGCATCTGCCCCCTGGTGGTTAGTACATGTCATAGCGACTGGTCGTTCTGCCATTTGGTTGATTTGCATATTAGGGTTTTATTATGTAGGATTGGGAGGGATGTGTCATTATACAGATTTACAATATTGAGTCTTCCAGGCTTTTCCTCCACATTTACTCCTTTAGGATTATCTTGTCAATTTCTAGAATAATAAGAACTATAACAACAAAAGTGTTATTTGCTTTAGTAAGGTTTTATGTTTTACTTAATGTAGGTTTTGTTTTTCATATTTAAGTGTTTGGTAAGGGAGTGTATCATTACTTTTTGTATTAGCAATCTATATTAGTGGTAACTAAAATATTTACATATAAAATGGAATATGTATATTAAATTCTTGCTTCATTGTGTTTTGTGTCATAGTTTCTTATTGCACAGTGCTTTGCATGTAGTCAACACTTACATATGCTGATGGAATTTCAATTTTGGGGAGGAAATGCTGTTTGACACTAGATATTGTCAGATGGAAAACCAATGTTAAACAGCCCTATGTCAGCTTACTAAATTGAGAAAGCCTTAAACCTCTGCAAACACCAGATTTCTTAGGATACCAGAGTCCTTTCTGGAAAAGAGTTTCAGGGTTTCCCGTGCTGCACCCAGGAGGAGCAGAACCCCATAGGACTTGCAGACACACAAGCTTTGGAATCACAGGTATAAGGTGCTTGCTACCAAAAATGGGGGAATTTTTAGGAAGTACAGTGTCAGGTAATCAGAATTGTCATTTTAACATGGTATTGATACCCTTCAAGGCAGAGTGCATTTGAGACAAAGAAGTACAGCATCTACATTAGAATTTGCAGCATTAGAACTTATTAGTCCACTAAGATCTAGGGCCTCCAATAAAAGAGAATGAAATCTTACCATTTGAGACAGCATGGATGGACCTACAGAGTATTATGCTAAGTGAAATAAGTCAGACAGAGAAAGACAAATGTCATATGATGTCACTTACATATGTAGTCTAAAGAACAGTATAAATGAACAACAAAACAGAAACCGACTCTTAGGTACTGAGAATAGACTCATGGTTGCCAGAGGGGAAGGGTTTCGGGAAACTGGGTGAAAAAGAGGAAGGGATTGAGACGTGCAGATTGGTAGTTCCAGAATAGTCATGGAGATGTAAAGTACAGCATAGGAAACATGGTCAATAATATTATAATAACTATGTACGTGCCAAGTCGGTACTAAAAACATCAGGGGGAACACTGTAAAGTATATGATTATCTAGCTATTATGCTGTACATCTAGAAACTAATACAAAATAATTCTGAATGTTAATTGTAATTGAACAACATTTTTAAAATTTTTATAAAATTTAAAAGGGGCAGAAGAGTTCTTAGCTTCCCATCACAGTATTCACTGAAAGCTAATTTTCTTAGAAATCAACATAGGCCTTAAAGGGTCTGAAATGGTTCAGAATTATAAGTGGTAAAGCTTCCAATAAAGTTTGTATATACATTTTTTAAAAGGAAAAATTATGTAGTCTGATTAAAACCTTACTGTTTCAAAATCTCTAGGTGTATCGGTCATTGACAACAAACTGTGCTTTCAGTCTGGCAGCTGTAGAGCCAGCCATGATGCTCTTGGAAAATGTGAAGAAGCATCTGAAGCGTCCTGTGTGGATTAACGCTGATATTCTTCCCGGTCCAAATGGAAACAGCAGAGTAGTGGATGCAAAGCCTTTTATAGACACTGTGACTTCCTTCTTTCCAGATGTGACATTTTCCCTGGGTTGGACAACAGGATGGCATCCTGAGAAAGTTAATGAAGGTAATAATTTTTTAGGTGTTTTTATTGTTGGCCAAATTAAAATATACTCTAGCCCGACCGGCATGGCTCCGTGGTTGAGCATTGAGCTGTGAACCAGAAGGTCACGGTTCAATTCCTGGTCAGAGCACATGCCCTGGTTTCGGACTGGATCCCCAGTGGGGGATGTGCAGGAGGGAGCCGATCAGTGGTTCTCTCTCATCATTGATGTTTCCGTTTCTCACTCCCTTCATCTATGAAATCAATAAAAATATTTTTTAAAAATATATAAATACTGAAAATATAAAAATATCTTTAATACAAAACCAAAAACACATTCCACAAAGTCTAAGAGCCTAATGGAGAGAAAGGTCTAGCCCTAAAAATATGTGTATGTTTCTTCTTTCTATTTTTTCAGTAGATACTTCACTCATCGGTGACATCCTGTCACCAGCTCCATGAGAAATATTTATTGGCAAGGTCTAGAATAACGAAACCAGCCTCTGTACATACTTTAAACAAATGCTAAGTTGGTCTCTTTGAACCTGTCAAACGTTCTATAGTATTTTTATCTCTCTCTCTCTCTCTCTCTCTCTCTCTCTCTCTCTTTTTTTTTTTTTTTTTTTTTTTTTTTACTGTGGAGCAAACTCCCTTTATTAGATGAAAGATTTAAAAAATGGTTTTAAGAGCTCCCCATGGGATTTGAGGCCAGAAGTTGGGCGAGTGGTTGAAGAGCATGAGTGCTGCTCCCTAGACACAGGAAGGGTGCTGGGACCTCGGTACCCTCCTGCTCTCCTTGGCTGGACAAGAGTGTGGAAGGCCATGAACTTCTCCTCTAGGCTCGATCCCTTCTTCCCTTCACATATTCCTACAGAAGGACCTGATATTTTCAGCTTCGTTTTCCTGCTGAAACTGATTACACTATTTGAATTCATCTTCCTATTTCTTCGTAGATCCCTAGGTAGTAATTTCCAGGTAAGCAGCCAGTAAGCAATCAAATGCTATGGACACCTGTCCATGTGGTTAAAATGATAAACGAGGAGGTATTTAGAACCTATGGAGATGTGATCTTTTATCCTGTGTTTAGGGCATTTATTTTTTACTTATTTACTATTATCGTTTTTATTTATTTTTATTATTTTTTATTAAATGTATTGGGGTGGCATTGGTTAATAGGAACATAGAGGTTTCAAGTGTACAGTTCTGTGATATAAGATCTGTATATATTTCACTGTGTGCTCACCACCCAAAGTATTATTGTTTTCAATAGAAAGTTTTTTAGTCTAACTTGAGATTCGAATAACTGCTATCCAGTGACATTTAGGTTATTACCCCTTGGACCAATAATTGTTATGATTGAGAGGAAAAAAATAATATGTTTATCTTAATTCTAGTTGAATTTTCTAATCATTTAAATTTTTATTAATTTCATTAAAAATGATAGCCGAAACCGGTTTGGCTCAGTGGTAGAGCGTCGGTCTGCGGACTGAAACTGAAAGGTCCCAGGTTCGATTCCGGTCAAGGGCATGTACTTTGGTTGTGGGCACATTCCCAGTAGGGGGTGTGCAAGAGGCAGCTGGTCGATGTTTCTCTCTCATCGACGTTTCTAGCTCTCTATCCCTTCCTCTCTGTAAAAAATCAATAAAATATATTTTTAAAAATTATAATTTAAGTGTTTAAAGAAGGTAAACTAGCAATGATTTAATATCTCGCTTACTGATTCTGAACTCCTTTTAGTCACTGTTTGACTCAGGCTTTAGCCTCAGGTTTGAATTGAATTAAACCATAGCTGGGACTTTAAGTCATGAGGGTGTTGAATTACTTAAGGCTGTTTTTCCCACTGGCTTCTTGTCATTACCAGCATCTGTTTTATCCTCCCTTGCCTCTTATGCCACAGATTTTATAAGGAGATTTTATGTTTGTGTTAATGGAAATATAGCTTCTGTTAGCAATAATGTTAAGTGTAGCTTCTGTTAGCAGTTTTCTAATTAAAGATGTCTAATTTTTTTATATTCAAAAGGAAAGCAGACATTTTCCTTCTTTCATGAGAAATTTAACTGCTAATCTAATATATTCACATAGGCTTTCTGTAAAATGCTCTTTTACTGACCAATGCTTTTTTACATCCTGCTTTTGATAGATTCAGGGTTATGTTAGAAATATAATTTTTTTTCTAAAGTTGTTTATAAACAGGTGTGATATTTTTACAGTGTCCTAACATGATTTAAAGCACATGTATAAAAGTCCATTTTACCACTATGTCTATTTTAGGTAAAATGTATTAGAAATCTGGACTAGCCAAAAACTTAAAAATTGAAGTTTAATGTTACCCTAATAAATTAAAGAGTAATAAGTAAATAAATAAACAAATAAATAAAATTTTAAAAATTGAAGTTAATTATTACTTAATTAGCTAACCAACAGCTAGTAGCCATCTTTCTCTTAGAAAAGAAAATATAATTAACATAAATGGAAAACCTTAGTTTATAAGGAATATTAATGATGAGAAAGTGCCTAAAAGTCTTAGAAAAGTAACTACTGTGTCAAAGTTTGCCATTTTTGCACTTGAAATATTAGTAAATTCTTTTTTTAATTTATTGATTTTGGAGACAGAAGAAAGAGGGAGAGAAGGAGAATATTTTTATTGTCCCACTTATTTATACATTTATTGATCGATTCTTGTATATCCCTAATTGGGGAATAAACCCGCAACCAGAATGATACGTAACCAATTGAGCTACCCAGCCAAGGCATTTTTCCCCCCTTATATTTGCTGTAGAATTACTTGTGGCATGATTTTAGATTTAATTTTCATCTACATTTTCCACCCAAAACATTTTCTCGCACTAAGTGATATTTTAATTCAATTTGTATTCAAACGAAAGTTTGCATGAGTTACCTATGAATTTATATATGTAATTTAGTTTTTATTTCATTGAATTTAGTATTGTAGTAGAAAAGTTAAATTTCTTTCTTTTGATTTCAGGTTATAGTTGGACAATGGTGAAAGAGATGGAATGCATATGCAATGAACTAAGTCAGCCTGTAACTTTTCCTGTCAGAGCAGCATTAGTCAGGCAGTCTTGTTCTCAGTTTCTCTGGCTGTTAAAGAAATCAAACAGGTATGTATAAGTTTTATAGCATAGAATGTGCATGTGAGTGTGTGTGAGAGACAGAGATAAAGGATGTAAACTGATTATGTCAAGACGGTGTGTGTAGGAGAGAATATGAACACTGATTCTATAAGTATACAGACTCCCTCACTAGAGTGAAGCTTCTTAATGAACCTTAACATTGTCTCTTCCTCAGTTTTTGCACATAGTAGGTGCCCAGTAAATGTCACTTTATTCATTGTTATACATTGACAAAGTTCTAAGCAGATAAAAGTTACCCTCTGAATTCTATAATAGTTTCAGAAGTCTATTCCATGAAAACTTTTTTTTTTCATCCACACCCAAGAATATTTTTAATTAATGTTTTGAGAGAGAGGGAGACAGAGAGAAAAAGAGAACATCAATTGGCCGTCTCTTCTATGGATCCTGATCAGGAATCGAACCCACACCCTTTTGGCTTTTGGGAGGACACTCCAGTCAACTGGGCCACCCAGCTGGGTTCTTTGTCTTTGAGGCTTAGTAATTTTATTAGACTGTGTCTCCAGAAGGACCATTCTGTACTTTATGGAGACACAGGGATGTGGATTTCTTTTCACTATGTAGATTCAAATGTTCCTTTTCTGAAATATTCCTGTGAATTATATTTGTTCTTCTGCATTTATAACACTATGCTTTCTCTTTTAGGGACTCCTGTAATGAATATGTACATCTCCTTTGCTTATCTTTGTTATCTATTATTTTCTCTCTATTCTCTCCTTTTATTTGCATTTTATGATTGAAACATCAGTTATGAGAGAGAATCATTGATTGGCTGCCTCCTGCATGCCCCCTACTGGGGATCCAGCCCACAACCCAGGCATGTGCCCTTGAACAGAATTGAACCTGGAACCCTTCAGTCCACAGATGGATTCTCTATCCACTGAGCAAACTAGGGCTGGAAAGCTCTTCTTTTAACTTCAGTTCACATTGTGTCTTTTTATACATTTTGTCACCATGGTGCTCAAATACAGTAGATGCCATATTAGCAAAAATAATAGATTTATAAAGTAATTCTCATTTTTTTTTCTGTGTTCTCAGAATTTAAAAGTCCATTTTGATTTGTCACATAATGTTGCTATGGGAGAAAATCCAAATTACTTCCCTTTATTACATTTCCAGAATGGTGTCACCATCTGTAAGGACAGGAATGTGTCAATATAAAAAGAATATATACCTTCATTAGACTACTTTTTGATCATTAGTAGAAAAAATGCTTTGGAGATTTCCCCCTGGATTTTGACATGTTTATGGGGAAAATAAATATGAAACTAACAGCTTTGCATTTCTCTAGACTCCAGTGCAACAGGGAAATGTCACTGAAATGAAAATACACAATTTAAATAGCATTAAAATTCTGAGCATATTCTTTTTTTAAATATATTTTTATTAATTTCAGAGAGAAAGGAAAAGGGAGAGATAGAAACATAAATGATGAGAGAAAATCATTGATGGGTTGTCTCCTGCACACTCCCAACTGGGGATTGAGCCCGTAACCTGGGCATGTGCCCTTGACCGGAATTGAATCTGGGGCCCTTCAGTCCGCAGGTTGACGCTCTATCCACTGAACCAAACCGGCTAGGGCTGAGCATATTCTTATATCCGTAACAAATCTGCACATATTATTGTTGTTTTTTAACTCCAGAAGTATTATAGGTCTAAATTTATTCCATTTGGTATTTTCAGTGACATCTTGTAGCATATCTCAGACAAAAATCCCCAGAAGGAATAGTGAAGCCACTTGCAAAGTAAATGTGTTGGGGTGTCAGTGGCACTTGTGTCTGTTCAGTCTCTTCCAGTTGTGCTTTGACTCTGGTTAGGCTTCTGAGGAAACCTAGGTTAGAGCAATAATTTTTTTTTAAAATATATATATTTTATTGATTTTTTACAGAGAGGAAGGAAGAGAGATAGAGAACTAGAAACATCGATGAGAGAGAGATATCAACCAGCTGCCTCCTGCACATCCCTCACCGGGGATGCACCTGCAACCAAGATACATACCCCTGACCAGAATCAAACCTGGGATCCTTCAGTCCACTGGCTGTTGCTCTATACACTGATCCAAACCGGTTTCGGCAGAGCAATAATTTTTGTTTCGAGAGCAGATTCCTTGATCAGCAGTGCAATCTCCTCAGTTCTTTTGTCCAAAATTGGGCCCATTTTCAGTGCTAGTAGTCTGGGTTTCTACAGCCATTTAACATTCCTATATTCAGATACGGCAGTTAGCTCATTTAGCAACAACAGTGTAATTTTTTTTTTCTTTTCTCTAGTCCAGTTAGTGTTGATGAAGGAATGAAGGGATAACTTCACCATTGATAATTAATTTTTTTATATTGGTGTGAATTTTGGTTGGAGACAAACTATTTTTAGGCTTATTGGAATTCCTCATCACTGCCTCTTATCTTCCACTTTTAATTATAGAATTCTGTTTTATTTTAATGCAGGTACAGCCTGACTATTTGGACTGGAAAAAATGATAACTATTCCATTGAAGATTTACTTTATATTAGAGACTATTTTGACAAAAAACAAGTTTTCTATGATATCTTGGAACCACAAAATCATGAATTTAAACAAGCCATTGGAATCAAAGTTAATCTCTAAGAAGAAGATTCTTCTAAATTATTTTATGTTTTGGTTTCATAATCCTTCTCTGCTTTGGTCTGAATTAATTACCATATAAATTGTAATGTTTGAGTTGTACTCCAATTTGTCCAATTAAAAAATACGTATTGAGTCAAAACCGTTTTTGGCTCAGTGGATAGAGCATCAGCCTGAGGACTGAAGAGTCCCAGGTTCGATTCCGGTCAGGGGCATGTACCTTGGTTGCAGGCTCATCCCCACTGGGGAGTGTGCGGGAGGCGGCTGATCGATGCTTCTCTCACTGATGTTTCTAGCTCTCTATCTCTCTCCCTTCCTCTGTAAAAAATCAATAAAATATATTTTTTTAAAAATACGTATTGAGTGCTTACTGTGTATTAGGCATATGTCCTTATAATACTGTATTTACCTAAAAGATTTGGAAAGAAGAGATTTCAGTGAGCCTAATCTAATAATTCAGAAAAAAAATATATTTAAAACCCTTTATAAAAATAATTCTGATATACTGAAAATAACTGAAAGAATTCATGTGTCATAATAGATATGAATCACATTTTGTTGGCAGTTACATTCCAGAGATCCACAAAAATGTGGCACCCTCTCCCCATTTTCCTGGAGAACTGGTTATTTCATAGACTACAGAAGAGTAAGAAGGCTTCAAAAGTGTTTTTATTTATTATTTGAGGCTCAGTGCATAAAATTCGTACAAGCAGCTCAGCCCTCACAGCTCCTGCTGGTCCTTGCAACCCTGGCTTCCTCAGGACGGTTGTTCTGCTATTCGGTCTAATTAACATATTAGCTCTTTTATTATAAAGCATTATTACTTTAAATATATTTTTATTGATTTCAGTGAATAAGGGAGAGGGAGAGAGAGAAACATCAATGATGAGAATCATTGATCAGCTGCATGCCCCCTACTGGGGATTAAAACAGCAACCTGGACATGTACCCTTGACTGGAATTGAACTTGGGACCCTTCAGTTTATAGGCCAACGCTCTATCCACTGAGCCAAACCAGCTAGGGCTTGAAGTGTTTTTAACTATTACTGGGCTAAACAGCTTTCTCATAACAAAATCAAATTCACTTACTGAATAAATTAAAGTGGATGGACCTAGAATTTCCATATTGTTGGGAGCATGCTGACTGCTATGCATGTCTTTTTTTTTTATGCACATCTTTTTTTTAAAATAAATTTTTATTGTTCATATTATTATAAATGTTCCTTCCCGCCCCCCCTCCATTGCTCTCCTCCACCAGGTTCCCACCCTACTCTCTGCCCTTTCCCCACCCCCCATTGTTCTCATCCATAGGTTTTATGCACATCTTTGTATTCATTGTTTCAATCATAGTATCTTCTCTATAGTGAGCAAACTACTCTAGGAATTTTAATCCTGGAAATATATCATTTGATTTTCAAGTTTCTCACCAGCACTACCTTAGTTCATGCCCTTTTTCTGCTCCTAGAATTTCAAAATCTAACTCTTCATAACTTCATTCTTCACACTCAGAGATACCCTGAGTATTTCTGCACATATCTGATTCCGGTTGCAAACATCTGTGACTTACCATTGGGACGCCAGTGATATATTCTACTTAATGGAATGAAAAGTTCCATAGGATGGTTTTACAACCATGGTCACACAACCTCAGCTCCTGAGGGTTCTTGGGATTGACAGATGACTACAAATTCTTCTAAATATGGCCGACGAAGTTTTAATCCTACTAAATATATTCATTTTTATGTTGGGATGAGAATAGAAACAACAGTTTTTCTTTCATAGTTTTCTGTTTACTCAAAGTAACATGTGGCACAGCTTCTCTTGAGATTATATTGAAAATTTATCGTTAGTATTTGAGATAAATAAAAAACAATGATAATTAAAATAACATTTTAAACCTTTATTGATATCATTTTATGAACTAGTCTATTTACATATTTTCCAGTCTGTATCCTTACAACTTAAAAACAAGCACTTTTCTCAACTTGCAAAAAAGGATTTAGCTGCCTATAAACACTAGGTACAATTCTATGTTCTGAATAAAAAACTATTTCTAATATAATTAATGTTCTTCAAAACATTAAATGAAATACCTCCAGTTTTTCCCCCAAATAAAATCCACAAGAAATCAAATACTAGATTCATTATAACTTGCTTATATCAAATTACCAAGAAAAGCATGAAGCCCATTGTTAGGATCTCTTTACTGACAGAAAGCAAAGAAAGTTGTATATGACAACATCAAATTAATACACTCAGGTTCTGTAGTTTGATTTATCCTATGCTGTAAACTGCTAGATTGAAATAAGGATTATATGTATAAACACCATATTTTCCAATTTTATAGATAATAGTCATTTTATAATATTTTATAGTAATAGCATGGTTTTCATTTATTTTGTTAAAAATTATTCACAGGTCATAAAATACTACATTTTTGGAATGCCATACTAAGGAAATTATCCTTATTCATTCTTACTATGGAAATGTCTAATAATTACATATTAGAAATAAAGACATTTTTAATATTGACCAACTATTTCGTACATTTTGTAATTAGGTTTCTACTGATTTTCTTAACTTTAGCTCATCTAAGCTAATAATCAGTTTGTTTGTTTTTTAATAAAAGAAAGCAAGCATTTAGTTCCTATTTGTGATCAATCTCAAACTTTTGGGATTTTTTTTTTGGGGGGGGATTGTTTTTAGAAAGTCGAGAATAAGTAAAGAGGAATGCTTTTTAACTTTAAAATACATTTATTTTGGAAACTTATGGATATGCTTCAAAAAAATTAACAGGAATTAAAGGTATGGAAAATTAAACTTCCATAACATTTTATTGAAATGTTTTAAAAAAGCAAAGCAAAAAACAGCACACAAACACTTGGCATAGATTATTACTACTTTGTAAAACTTACCATTTAACACTGATTAAGCTAACAACAGGAATATTAGTTGCTCTGTTTCCTATAATGACTGACCATTAAAATTTTAATTAGATTTTCATCTATCTGAGCCAAATATATATAAATATATATATATATATTTATTGATTTCAGAGAGAGGAAGAGAAACATCAATGAGACAATCATTGATTGGGCACCTCCTGCACACCCCACACTGGGGATTGAGTCTGCAACCTGGGCATGTGCCCTGACTGGGAATGGAACCATGACCTCCTGGTTTATAGGTTGATGCTCACGGCCTGGGCAACATTTTTAAAGAATCTATTCATCCTTTATAGTTGAAGCTTATATATCATAGCACATTTTAGAGCTGTCAGTATTTTCATTTATACTTTTTTTTTTTTAATCCTCACCCAAATAATGGAGCATATTTTTTCCATTGCTTTTCAGAAAAAGTGGAAGGGAGAGGGGGGAGAAATACTTGAGAAAAAATACTTTTAACTTTTGAGAAAAATACTTCTTTGAGAGAATTCCCTCGCCACAAACTATAGAGTATTTGTGTCCACAGTACCTCGTATGATACACATGTTGATTCCCCCCTAACCAGAGTGGACTAACCAATTACAAGATTTAGAAGGATGAACATTAGAGATTTCTACTCTAGTTGTATATTTCTCTGATAAAGGCCTATGAACAAAATATGTTGTCCAGCCATCTCTTAAAAATTTACTAACTGCTTAATTTGTTCTGTTTGCAATGACTGTCTCCTTAACATTTTTTTACTTTTAGGGAAACTAGGAACTGTTGGCATGAGCACTTTCTGACCGCAAGAAAGAAGGCTGGGGATCTTGGGGACAGTGACGTCTGTGATGGGAGGGTGAGCACTCACATTTAAGGGCGGCAGAAATCCTGGTCTGGTTTGGGGAACACTGTGGTCTAAGGGGAAAGCTCCCGAGCCTCGCCTCTCTAACACGGCGTGGTTTCTCCTGCTCAGAGGCCCTGGGGGCATATTCTCCAGCAAGTCTTTGGACCCTGACAACAAGGAAGGAGTCGGCGAGAGGATCTTTTTCTTTCCTGTCAGCGCTTTGCCATCTTCCGAAGTTGTAGGGATCAGACCCGCCGAGAGCTGGGAATCGGAGCTGTAGTGGTTTGCCCCCGAGTTTCTTTTCTGAACTATACTCCTTAAGGTGGACGCAAATATTGTCTGGTTAGAGTCTGGGTCTTGGTCAACAGGGATTTCGCTGCATTGCTGATTTCCTTCTGATCGATAATTCATTTCATCGTATGACGCCTTTCTGGAGCTGGCCTGGTCAAAGGCTCTGAGCAAATGTGCTGTGTCTTTTACGTCAATGCTCTGGTGCCTCGTGATGAATCGCTTGGAGAGTGCCAGCCCGTTGGTTCTGTAGGATAACTCTTCCTCTGGGGTAATATCCTGGAGCTCCTCTTGCAGAGAGGCCACTCTGGTCGTTAATGGGGGGCCACTCCTGACCCAGGGGGGCTTGGGCCCACTGAGGCCCGCCGCAGGCTTCCGCACAGGGGAGCCCAGGTCCCAGGTCTCATCCCGGCTTCCGGAGTCCTCCAGATCGTGAAAGCCAAAAACTCTCATTTCCGTTTCAGAAGAATGTGAAAGGGGCATGGAGACCGTTTCTATGTCTACTTCTGAAGGGGTGGTGCAGGTGGCTTGGGAATGACACTCACCTATATCCGAAGGAGGCACGTTTAAGTACTGTTGGGTGGTGTGCCTGCCGGAGGGCGATTTCGCGGTAGTTATGATAATGACCTCCTTTCCTTTAGCCTTGCAAGCACTCAGTAGAACATTCAGGGTCTCTTTATCTTCTGAGTTTAGAGCATACACAAGGGCTGAGTAGCTAGCATGGTCTTGCAAGCTGAGGTCGGCCCCACCCTGTAGGAGCAAGGAAACCACTTCGGGGCCGGCTTTCTCTAAGCAAGCGTGCATCAGAGCGGTTTTCCCAGATTTGTCCTGTATGTTGGGATCGGCGTTGTTCTCTAGCAGGTATTTGACCATCTTGGCTTTGCTGACACTCTGGTGGTCCACGTGTTTGGTCTTACAGGCGATCATTAACGGGGTTTCCCCGCGGTCATTGCTCTCGTTGATGTAGGCGCCGCCTTCCAGCAAGAGTCTCGTGAGGCGGAGCCGGCTCAGGTGGACGGCTTTTATCAGGGAATTCCCATCACTTGGAATTTCTACACCTTCGTCCATCGTCAAACGTCAGAAATCAATACCTGCTTACCAAAGAAGAGGAAGACCAAAAGATGAGCCAAAATCAATATCCTAATTTATATTCATGTTTTTTACATACAATTTCTGAAATATGTATAGAGAAAGAGGACATAAATGAGGTTATGTTATTAAAAAGTACAGGACAAAATAGTGAATGACAAAATTAAAAAAATTTTAGACTAGTAACAAGCTTTAGGAAGTGACAAACTAAAATTTACTTTCAGAATCTTCACTGAATATTTATGCTATAACACCAACCTAAGACTGTGTATATATATTCCATCTTACAATAAATAAAAGTAGTATCATACAAAAGAACACATGAAATGTCCCACATTAATTAAACAATAATCAACTTTTTAATCCAAGCCCTTTAATCATGAGACAGTCAAAACAAAAAGCAAAAGAAAAAGCCTCTTACATTAAAATACCAGAATAAAAGCAACTTGGAAGAGACAGATATTAATTAGTCAGGAAAATGAAAACTGCAAGAGCTCATTATCCCCAGCGGAATAAGATGTAACTAAAAAACAAGATTCTATGGAAAAGTATTATAAGATGCAGACTCCTCAGCTTATCTCTTGAGAGCTCCTTCATATACTATTGGCAATACTGACCTTTCTTTATTCACCTGACTTCTCAAAAATAATTAATTTACTTAAGAATCAATCATACACAAGCCGGGACCGGTTTGGCTCAGTGGATGGAGCGTCAGCCTGCGGACTGAAGGGTCCCAGGTTCAATTCCGGTCAAGGGCATGTGCCTTGGTTGCGGGTACATCCCCAGTGGGGGGTGTGCAAGAGGCAGCTGGTCGATGATTCCCTCTCATCGATGTTTCTAACTCTCTATCCTTCTCTCTTTCTTTCTGTAAAAAATCAATAAAATATATTTTTAAAAAAAGAATCATACACAAATGGGAAACTGAAGAGAAAAAAAAAAAAAAGCAAAAGGCGTGACTAACGTAAAATCAGGAGAAAGTTATCTCTTGAGGGTGGGGTGTAGAGAGAACAATGCAATTTTGGAGGGAGGCCTGGGGAATTTTAGATTCAGGTAATGTTCTGTTTCTCTCCCTAAGTGGCATGGATATAGATGACATTTTATTGTTTTTTAAAACAGCACATATTTCACATGTTCTTTCGTATGATTCTACTCTTACCTATTTATTGTAAAATGGAACATGTATACAGAAAAGAGCATCGCGCTTCCGTAGGATATGCTGCATAAGTACATTTTACAAAGGCTCTATCAGATCTTAGTTTTTACAACATAATTCAGCTTTTGAGGCATTATCAATAGCATCGATGCCTAACATTCAAGGAACTTCAGCTACTATGTTCCTGAAAGGCAGTATTCAAGAGAATATCCTTGCTAACTTCCTCGTTAGTATCCTTCCTGATGCTAAGCAGAGGACAACTACTCAACACACACACACACACACACACACACACACACAAACACAACACATAAACACAATGAAAGCGACTGCTGTGACTTAGTGTTTTACTGAAGTTATTCCAGAGCCAGACATACCTGTAACTCAGGAACTTAGGAATTTTAGGACTGGCTGACAGCGTGGGTCCCAACCCAGAGGTCTATTCTGAATGCAAAGCTTCTGAAAAGAGGTCACATGAGACAGTGATTCAAAAGAAACCTTCTTTTAGCATTTTTAAAGTACAAATGTGTTCAATAGGATTAAAGCAACAGGAATTTGAGACATCAGTTGGAACAAAATAGTAAATATAGAAACCACTTAGTAACTGCAGTTCAAGAAGAAAATGGTATCAATAATGTAAAAACAGTGTTGACTTAAAGCAGCATTTGAGAAACAGATACTCAAATGAGAACAAGTTCTCAGATACCACATTTTATTTTATTTATTTATTTTTAAATATATTTTATTGATTTTGTACAGAGAGGAAGGGAGAGAGATAGAGAGTTAGAAACATTGATGAGAGAGAGTCATCGATCAGCTGCCTCTTGCACATCCCCTACTGGGGATATACCCACAGCCAAGGTACATGCCCTTGACTGGAATCGAACCCGGGAACTTTCGGTCCCCAAGCCGACGCTCTATACATTGAGCCAAACCGGTTTTGGCTCAGATACCACATTTTAATATTTTACTCTCATATAGTTTTTAGTATGAGGGCCAATACTTTTTTTAATACTTTTTTTTTTTTTTGCCTACATCACATTCTACTCTATAACATTAAAAAAAAATCTTTATTGTGGAAAGTATTACATATGTCCTCCTTTTCCCCCATTGATTTCCTCCAGCCCCCCACCCCTCCCAACCCAGGCCTTCACCACCGTGCTGTGTGTCCATGGGTTCTGCATGTATGCATAGAAGGTCTTTGGTTGATAACACTTTTTGAAAATAAAGCCTTATAAGAAACTTTGGGAAAGGTTTCCAAACCTTTTCACCTATCCTCATGTTAAAGCCATTCTCACAACACTAAGTCTGACTACTTTCTGTCGCACTTTCTTCAAAGCTGGCATCAGGAGGTTCTGGGAGGTGAAGGGGGACTGGCACTGTCCTGCCTGCTGGGGTGCCACACCGCAGTCCTGTGGAAAGGGAGGGTGCTGTGTGCTCCGGGCTTCGGAGAAGCCGAGCAGTCCCGCCACTAGCTCCTGGCAACCAGAGCTTCTATCTGCCATGTGGGCGTAAGGCAGACAGACGCCCTCCCCCGAGACAGGCAGGACTGTCTAGCAAAAACAACTCCGTGAGGCTTACTCTTTGTTCACTAAAAAACGCCTTGGATTGATCACTTTTTAAAACTGTTCACATTTAGTAGAGCAATTCTGAAAATCTTTAAACATTACATTTTTCAGAGAAAAAAGTTGTCAGATACTTTATTCTTCACGTATGAACATAGTTGGTCTCCTAGTGTCTCAAGGGTAATCAGTACCTTTTTGGAATAATGCCCTTGTCTTTATCTATACCTCACCCACTTTCACGTGGTTCCTTTATCTTGCCCGAGCCATTTGCACGGCAAAAAAGCTGACAATGAAGTTCGACTTATTTACTCTTCCTAGAGGTAAGTCGCACCTGTGTGTGTCAGACCACCTCTCTCACCCAGTTACCCTAGTTCAGAAATGACCTTGCCTCCTTTCCCAACCTGTGAACCCTCACTGAACATTAGGTGCTGAACTTTCTGCACATTCTGTCAGACCCTTTGTTATAATCTAGTTTATAAAGGATTCCCAAGTTCAGTTTTACCTTTCCAACAGATAACATTTCAGCTAGAGAATGCTTGGGGGTTAGACAGACCCAGATTTTTATCCCGACTCTTCTACTTAGTAGCTGAATGCCCTGTTTGAGTCTCTCGACCTCAGAGTTTTGGGCTCCTCATCTGTGGAAAACTAATCAGATAACATTCATCCTCTGGTGGACGGTGATGAAGTCAATGTCTACAAAAAGATTTTCTTGTGCCTACTTATTGCACACTTCTTTTTAAAAAATTTTATCCCAGATAAATAAATAAAAAATAATTCTTTTATTTTTACCATGTCCCTAATCCACAGCCTACTTAAATAACAGGTAAAATATTTTATAATTTTGTTTTTAGGATGTGCAAATAATGTGTCCTAAGCATAAATGGTATTTACTAAAATATAAGATGAAGACATCCTTTAAGTATATTTTCTTTATAATTTCCTAGTACAATAACTTCAACATTATTATAAGATATTAATTATTAAACAGCTGGATAAATTGCCTTTAAAAAATGTCTTTATTGATTTTAGAGAGGAAAGGAGAGGGAGAGAAAGAAGGAAACATTGATGTGCGTGAAACAACAATCAGTTGCCTCCTACATGCATCCCCACCAGTGAACGAACTGGCAACCCTGGGCACGTGCCCTGACTGGGAATTGAACCAGTGTCCCTTCAGTGCACGGGACAATGCTCAACCAACTGAGCCACACTAGCCAGAGCTAAATTGCTTTTTATTTTAAAACTAGAGGCCCAGTGCATGAATTTGTACACCAGTGGAGTCCCTACGCCTGGCCTGTGGCATCGAGCCAACAGGGCACTTCAACATCCCTCGAGGGGTCCCAGATTGCAAGAGGGACCAGGGAGGGACGCGGGAGGTTGGCCAGCCAGGGAGGGACCACGGGAGGGCTCTAGGGTATGCCCAGCCCATCTCTCAGTCCCAATCGGCAGGACCCCAGCAGCAGGCTAACCTACCGGTCAGAGTGCCTGCCCCCTGGTGGTCAGTGCACATCATAGCGAAGGATTGAGTGGCCTTAGCATATCATTAGCATGTTATGCTTTTATTATGTAGGATTAGAACATCTTTAAAATCACTTGCAATTCATTATGGTGTATTTGCTATACTCATTTGGTCCTCTCTCTCCTCAAGATGCCACTAAAATTACAATTTTGTTATTTTAAAAAATGAAAAAGATACACATCTTGAAGAACAAAGAAAACTGGAGGACAGACATCAGGGGAGCAATTTCAGACAAGCTTTGGAAACAGAGCAGGATGGTGGCATGGTAAACTGCCTTCGCATAGCAGAGGCTGCAACAGAAATCACCAGGGAGATGAGCAGGGAACCAGTATACGCCTCGGACCCATAAAGTTGAGGATGAAGAGGCCCTAAGTGACACAGCAAGTGGTAATGAGGCCCAGGGCTGTGCAGGAGAGGATGGCTCAACGTCTGTGGACAGAACAAATGGACCCCAGGTTCTTTACCCATCCCCAAGCAGCAGACTCTTTTAGGCAAGAAAACAAAGGTTTATTCTCTGAACAGACTGATGAGAAAGGCTCTGAACCTCATGGCAGCACGCTGAAAACGGGAATAAAGTGAGAGTCTACAGGCTGAACGGTGTGTCCACCCCAGCTTTCTGCCCTGCTACCTGAGGCCCGGAAGCCAGGCTAAAGAAGTCAAAAACTTTTTAAAATACCTGACAATAAATGAAGCAATTCAAACCACAACTGCATTCGCCTCTCCCACTCTACATGGAAATAGAAAG